TATGACGGTTTGTGAAGAATAGGAACAAGAAGGCAAATGCAATAGGTTGTGAATGTTTCTCAAGCAAAAACAAGACACATCCATTAAAGGACAGGGTTGTGCTGATGGCAGGTGGCAAGTTCATTCCATATGGAAGGAGGACGCAATTTCCCTAACAGTATCACTACTATCTGCATTGTTGTGCTATGATCCTGCATCCTCATAGATAGTACTACCAAGGGCTGAGATTCAGCCACATCAGTTGCCACAAGAGGAGCTTTTCTACAAACAGATATGTCCCCAAGGGCAAGCACATGTATATCAGACTTGATGGGCCATGATGCTCGTAGTACCATGAACAAGATAATCAAAAACAAGCAATTCACCACATATTCCATCAGATATTCATATGTGGATGATCTCAAGATTTCTCATAAGATTCCTAGTACTAGTAAAGTAGCAGTCACAAAAATAATCAATTACCTAAACAAAAAGGTTGGCATTGAGTTGCCTCACTGAGGCAAGTCTAGGTTCATTTGGGTTAGATGAGAACCAAAGATTTTAAGTATTCAAGAAGTCATTACTAATGTAAATCAACATCAACTGAGGCTGAGACCAAGACCAAGACCAAGACCAAGACCAAGTGTAGATTACTTTCAGTAATCAGAGAACTGCTGAGGGCAAAGTCGAGGTCAAGAGCATAGCTCAAGACTGAGACTGAGGCCTCAGAAGTTCTGTGCCATCTTTAGCTCACTCTCAAGCTGTGACCTTCTTTCTTTCTCCCAATTATGGTCTTTCTGTTTATATATATCTTTTGCCTCATGAATCTTCTTGGATAGCATCATCTTCTGCAAGTCATCATTCAGCAATAGAAGCTTCTTGTTTTGATCCAAAATGGTCTGCTGAGCTGGTTCTTGTTGGCATTGGATCTTCTTTGCTGCTTTCTTGAACTCTTTGGATTCTTCCTTCCTCTTTGCAGCTTCCTTCTTTGCATCATCAAGTTGCTCCCTTAGAAGAAGAATATACTTCTTGTTGTTACTGCTAGTAGTTGGACTTGCCTTGGTGACATCACCAACTGCTTGTGGTGGGCTTACCTGCAAATCTTTCTTCATTCCTTGCAATGAATGAGCAGTCAACAAAATAGCACTCACGATTAATTTTTCCTTTGCCCCTGCTGGTGGCGCTGGTGGCAAATATCAAGGAGAAGCTTTTCCCTTCTTCTCTTGCTTGTCCTTGTCGTCTGCTGTTGGGACCGGTTTTGCTGCTGGCAGCTGCTTCTTCTTGCCATGGAGGTCAGCACTATGAAGTACACTTTGAACAGTTCTTTGAATAACAGAATTTTGGTGGATAATGCTTGGCTGACTTATTGCTCTTGTGTCTAAGATCATTCATCCTCATCTTTTTTGGAACAGCAAGATCAGAAGAAAAGATAGTGCAGCAATGATGCCAATTATCATGAGGAGGAGTGTATTGAAGGCGCTGGGGTTATTCCAAATGACCTTTGCATAGTACTCCACGATGCTGGTGGTTTTCATGGGCTTGTTTGTCTCATCCTCCTTCTTGTTTCCTGCTTTTTGGTGTTCATGCATTGAAGGAGCTGTGGGGAGGTCCTTTAGTTTCACTGGAGGTGCTGGCTGTTGCTCAGGTGGTGCTCCTTGTGGTGGTGGTGGTGGTGGTAGTGGTAGTGGTGGTGGTGGTGGGGGGGGCTTGCAGTGATACTGGTGCGTCTTCTACTATGATCTACAGCTCTCTTCTGTTGAAGTCAAGTTTGACAGCACTGATGAATGACCCCTTCCCTTTGAAATCTGCTTCATTAAACTGGATCCCCTTCTTGTGGAACCCAGAGAATAGCACACGGATATACAAGGAATGAGTGTTTGTGTTGAGGGGCTCTCCAATCTTTGTGTTCTTGATATTAAGTGTCCAGATCATGAGTGCTTGATTCATTCGTGTCTTCTTGAGGGGACCCGGCTTACCACCCACACTCTGGTAGAATAAATAATCTTCAGTTAATCCATCAGCCATTCATACTAGGAACCTTCTTGGTCAACATCTCAAACATGACTTTGTCTCCAGGTTTGTTTGTGGCTGGATTTGTAGCATTGAGTACTGTCTTCACAAATCTTGTGAGGCAGCTCTTCCTCTTTGCTGCATACCCCTTGCTGTTTGATTCAGCAGTGGCATACTCATCATTCCCCAATGTGTTGAAGGCGTTTGTTTAACTAGCTTCTTTGTATATTCAAACTTTGCTTGTTGAGAGTCAGCACTTTCTTCAGTGACAGTGGCAGCTGGTGCTGGTGTCTGTGCTGGTGCTGGTGGAATTGTCATCTTCTTTTTTGCTGCTTTCTTTTTTGCTGGTGCCTTCTTGTTGTTGTTAGTCTTGGAGGATACAGCATGTTGTTTCTTCTTGTTCTTCTTGTTTGCTGCTGTACAGATTTCAGATTGGTGGTCTTTGATTTACAGCATCTGACATTGCTGTTGTCTTGTCTGCTTGATCAAGAGATTCTCTTCTTGGTTTAGTTTTTGTTGCAGCAGCTTCTTCATCTGGTGCTAACTGGATTTCTCCTCCCCCTGTTTGACCTGATGGTGTCACTGCTGCTGTGGTCATTGTTGTTGGTTGCTGCTGGGAAGTGTTTTCTTCTGTCCAACTTGTTACCTCAGCACCAATGCCCCTCCAGTTTGGATCTCCTGCTTGCTGAGAGGAGAATAGCTTTTTCCTTTTTTTGCTGGCTGTACTGAGACATTTCTCTCAAGCTCTCCCTATATTCTGGCCATGCGCTGCAGTCAACGCTGTCATCATCTGCTTTCTTCTTAGCCACCAGAGGCTTTGCTGCCAGAGGCGTGGTTGACTTCTTCTTGCTTCTGGTCCTCATGGTCAACTGTTGCTGGTGTTGCTTTAAACTATTCTGCTGGTGGTGGAGAACCAATCCTGCTTCTTTCTCAGAAACCAAATCATGCTAAAATTATTTGGGAGCAACACTCAGTAGAGCTCTGTAGAATTTGTACTGAAAAAAATAAGGGTGGCATCACTAAATTAACAATGGGAACCACTTTTTAAGTGCTGCGATCACTTGTTATGATATCCATAGTGGTACTGCCTACGAGTTTTGTAACAATTAGTACACATCGTCTCGCCCAGAGAGCAAAAAGTAATAATTTGAAGTTCTAAACTTTGATTTGAAGTTATGAACTTTTGCTCGTTCATCATGTACCAGGTTCTACTGAGTTAATTTTTTAAAATGACTGAATGGCCAAATCACGATTCCCCTCAAAGCAAAAAAATGGGTCAGGGCGATCAATCATGAATCAATCATGAATGCCATCCAAAAACTAGCTCAGTAGAACCTAGTAGACTTTCTACCTGAAGTTCTTAACTTCAAACCAAAGTTTAGAACTTCAAATTATTAAAGTACTTGCTCTCTGGGCGAGACGATGTGCAATTGTTACGAAACTCGTAGTATCGGAAATTTGGATCTTGGTTGGATCTTTTCAATTCTCATGAGGAACAACCTCGTATTGACAATGACATTGGTGTTGTTTCTTGGATTCCTCTTCCTAGCGACACGATCGTTAGGGTTACTCTCCACCTCCACTAATGTTTTTCTACCACGGTCGGATCTTTCTCCAAATCTTACCACTAGTACCTCTCGGGTTTACTCTTCTCGTCTGTCTTCATGGAGCAAGATTGCCGAACCCGACACCGATTTTGGATCTTTTCGTTTGGTGAACACAGAGGATGCCGAAGCACTTGCCGCAAGCCAGGAAGGAATTGAGTTTTCCGACAGCCTTGTTTTCAACTTGGCTTCTCCCCGAGAATGGTTGGAATTCTGCGAGGCACGCCAGCTCTACCAAGACCAACATCCCAATGATATCAGAGATAGAGCACCGGGATGTGGAGCATATACCGTGCTGCGATGTGATTTCTTGCTGGAGGAAAAGGCTTGGAGGATATGGGGGAGAGACTTTCACTGGAACCGGCTGCGAGAATCCTATCGCTTGCTGCTGCAACAAAAGCAATCGATAGCCGGCCAAAACGGGTCAGGCGCAAACCACTGCGAACAAGCCGCAATCGACTCGAGTATCGAGGCAATGGATTGCCTACTCGCTGAGGCCGAATCGGAAATATTATCCAAGTATCAAAGAGAGAACGACGAAACTGCGGTAGTGGTTGCGATGCTTACGTTGCTCTGGGATCCAGAGCCCGGCGATGCAACAAGCATACGGGTGCGAGGGCACGGGTTTTCGACCATGAAACCATCTCACAACAATGATACCGATGGCACTTCGATGGGGAACCCAAATGCGCCGATTGAAGCAGTCATTGGGTTCTTGCCTGTGACTCTTGCAGAACGAGTCGCCGACCGCATCAACAATAATCATCACGACGTTACAATGCTACCAAACCGGTACCAAAATATCCCACAAGCCAAGCTGTCCTCTTGGTGTCGACGACGTCGTCTACTGGAAAAAATATTTAAAGGGGAAAACACCGGAGATGTGATTTTAACGAAAGAATGCGGACTCGGCAAAGAGACCGAAACGAACAAACAAGAATCATCACCAGAAGCCGAAGTACCGTCCATCGAGATGCTTGAGGGTCTCACGTCAAACATGTTTGTGCTCTATCCGGGCAATGTCCTTCGTACGGCACACTCATCGCACGTTTTGGGTGGTTACGTCCGTGACTTGATAGTCGAGTGTGCCAGTGAGTGTGGTTACCGAGTGAAATTCGGCCCAATACCTCTGGTGGACTCTTCCAAATGGAAAGAAGTCTTTCTCACGTCTTCGGTACGGCTGGTTATACCCGTGAGCAGGATTTTGCTTCCCAGTATCGCATCAAGCACCAGAGACGAAGAATGCGGCGACAGCGACGATCTGTTCCGATTGGATACCGTATGGGAAATGGCACGAGACGATGAATTATCAGATGGCGATCGTCCCACACGGCCTGCCTCTCACGTATTATACGAAAAATTAATGGAGCGCGGCAGAGATATTCCGTCACATACTTCTCGATCACCTTGAGATTTTAAACTTTATGTCCTGGATCGATGGCATGACACAGATGACACACGCTAGATGCCTCCAAACGCCGACTCAACGACCTGGGTTTGGGTCACCATTATTCGATGGTATCTGTCATTATTCCACGATGCATTTTTTCTTTTTGATTCTCCTATATTCTTCACCAGTTTATGTTCACGAAATCGTATGTTTTGAATCTGATTCGCCTCGCGTCTCCAGTTGCAAACTTGACCACGGACACGGGATGGCCTCAAGGCCATGAATCACACCCCGATCGTAATGATGTCAGACCTTTCCTTAAAATGAACCGTTAATATTTTTTCTTCCCGGAATTCAAATATGAGTCATTAGCTGTTCGACTGGAGCTACACCTGCGAAATTCTGTTTACCATCGACCACAGCAAAGACAACAAAACTGCCTCGCTTTACCCCACTGGAGAACCCAGTTCTATGTAACCCAGCGCTCTAATCTGTAGTCCGCGCCTGTTGTTATCAAATTAATTTATGAGCAATTCCGTGTTACTGCGTGAGCGTTTTCGATCACAGCTGCCACCGAGTCCGTTCCCCTCTCGATACAACTCCTCAATTGCCTCTTCATAAAATTCCCTATCATACTCCGCAACTTGAAAAAAAGAATCCGCATTCTAATGACTGTGCTTCTCTCGATCATGTCTACTTTGTTCTTGTCCTTCGTTGAGGCCTGGGTGATGATGACAAGACGCGGCATGTACCAGTTACACTACGCAACAGTGAAGACGTGAGAGAGGTTTGTTCTTTCGATGGATAACGGTACGCTGCTCGTAATGGTACGTAAGTACGAGTACCGGTACGATATTTTATGGGATACAACTTCACATTCGTGGAGGTACACGACTGAAAACAAATGATAAGGTATTGCAGGACCGTACCGTACGGTACCGTACAAGTTGCAATGCACGAAAATTTATTTCTCAAAAGCACGTTTGACGGCCATGCCAAACACAATTAAACGACTCGTTCGAGTCATAGTTTGCCGCAAATGTAAAAATACCTCCTCGCCACTTACTAGACTAATCTAATGGTTCTGCCGTAGGATTAGTACTACGTAAAATCACACGCATACAAACCCCCCAATTTCGTGAAGGAAACTCAACCTCGCAACAAGGTAATAACGGAGACACCACCGTCACGAAATAACTTACTCTTTCAGCTGTTAAGGTACGGTTCAACCATGGACTTGTGTGTGTAGTAAGATATGGGTTCGAAAATCAAGCAACAATACAGACGATGGTGGTCTATTGTGGTGAAAGATGGAGCGTTCGCTAGTAGATAGTTAGGTCGGTGTGTCGACAGCGCGGTGTCGTAGTGCCACATGGCGATTAACAGCGAACGTCTTCCATCTACCTTCGGATCGATCTGTTAACGTGAAATGAGCTTCGGAATAGGCCATTCATACCACAATAGTTGACGGTCGACGTCCCGATGACAGGAACGAACCCATTTAATTTTGGAATCAAACACACGTGGTTCATGTCACTCTATTGGTTCTCTCACAATTTGTGTCGTTTTTTCTCCTGCAGATATTACTTGAATAATAATAATAAAAAATGGCCGAAGAAGCACGAGGAATTTGCGTCCGTGACGTTCCCGCCCCAGCTTTCATTGAAGCTTACGCGGAGCACTTGAAGAACTCTGATAAGTTCGAATTGCCAGTCTGGGCCGATACTGTCAAGACCGGAGTCTTCAAGGAGCTTGCTCCTTACGGAGAAGACTGGTATTACATCAGAGCTGCCTCCATCGCTCGAAAGGTCTACCTTCGACCTGGTGTTGGAGTCGGTATGCTTCAAAAGTGGTACGGAGGTACTTACCGACGTGGAGCTAGAACAGAACACTTCCGAAAAGCTAACGCGGGTGTCATCCGTTCGGTTCTTATTCAGCTCCAAGAGATGAGAGTCGTAGAGCCTGTCGAGAAGGGCGGACGAAGAATCACCACTGTCGGACAGCAGGATTTGGATCGTATCGCAGGAACTGTCTACCGGGCCGGTGAAGACAGCGACAGTGACAGCGATGACGAGTAAACTAGCAGTCGCAATCTATAAAAACTCCCCTTAATATTTTTAAGCTCGTTACTGAATCGAGGCGGCTCAGTATAGTATTATGGTTCCTTATCTTACCATCCAAGTTTTCATTAGTATTTTGAAGAAAAGTCAAAGAGAGGTAGATAGAAAATTGGAATCTTCGTAGTCTTCGTTCGTGTTCGTTCCAGTCAGCAGCAATGAAGTGGATCTGTTCATTGAACTCATGCCGATTGAATTGAATATTCTGCAGTGCCCTACCTCATGAATTAGCAACACACTTTTGTTGGATTGAAATAACTCGACTGCTTCGAAGCCAAAACTACTGTTTGTAAACGTTTGTTTAAAGTTGTTTTATGATCAGCCTCTTCTCCTCGAGTTATTACTGCGTTCACTTGGATTGCTATTGCTTTTCTTGTCATCGATTTCTTGGAAATTGTAACCGAGTCGCTTGAGTTTCCCTATTGTTTTGGAATAGTGTGGATGGGATGTAGAATATCCATTTTCCTTGAAGATACGTGCCGCTTCAATGAATGCATTGCGTGCCCTCTTTTTGTTGTGAAGAGATTCAAAAACAAGTCCTGTATTGTACGACACTTCTGCCATATCTGTTCCAGCAACGACTGTACCATCAGCTGCTTTAGACGCTGTTTCTACCCTATTCTTTTCATAGATAGCCAACGCTTCCATAAAGTAGTTTAGTGCACGGTTGTGGCTTTTGAGCTCAAACTCGGCTACACCGAGGTGATTAAGAGCTTGGGCGATTAGGGGATATTCAGGCTGTCCAAGTTTTCTTCGGACCGCAATTTCTTGTTTAAATGTCTTGATTGCATCACTCGTGTTGTGGTTAGCTTTATGGATTATAGCAAGCTCATGCATAACCTCTGCAATCATTTGAACATCATGTATTTCCTTGCCTTCTCCAACATAGATATTCAGGGCCTGCTTTATACACTTGAAAGCTTTATCAAACTGATTGCTTTGTCGCAGAGAAACTCCTAGATGGAAATAGGTGTCAGCAATGGTAGGATGAGAGCCTCCAAGGGCTCGTTTCTTTCCACGCAATACCCCCAGATAAGCAATGGCAGCCTTCTTGTATTGCCCGGTGGCTTGATAGATCAATGCTATTCTTTCTAAGATGATGATTGCCTTTTCACCATGTTCGCCCACAATATCTGCATATATCTTGTATGCTTTCTTCAGATTTTTCATGGCCTTTCCGTACTGCTCGGCGCATTCATACGATGTGGCAAGCTCAGAGAGGCTTGAGGCCACTTCCTTGCTTGTGACGCCTAAGGTTGCGGCCTTGAGTTTCGCAACTTCTTCAAGAATCGCCGATGCTTTTTCATACTCCCCGATAGTGATGTATAAGGACGCAATGGAATCTACCGTGACAGAAACAGTCGGGTGGGTATCCCCTAGGACTTCGCGGTAAGTTTTCAGCGCACGTTTTAGAAGCTTAATTGAAGATTCATACTTTCCTTTCTTTTTGAGACAACCCGCGATTCGTGTCAGAACCTCAACAACGTCTGGGTTTTTCTCGCCCTTCAAGTCCTTCATCATGTTCATTACAAAGTTGTAGTTGAGGATAGCTCCATCGATGTCGCCTGCATTCTCTTGCACTTTTGCCAGGCGCAGCTTTGCATCCAGCGTTTTCTTATCATCATCACCTAGATTGACACTGTATACAGACACAACATCTTTGTGTAGCCTCAAGGATTGCCTATATTCTTTGTTCTCATCATACAAGTCTCCTAATGCAGCAGTGATGTTGGCGCATCGGACATCAAAACGACCATGTTTTGATATGGCACTACGGAGTTCTCGAACTAGAAATTTGCGTCGTGTTTCCAACACTGCCGGATCTAGGTTCCGATGCCCATTGCTGCTGTATTCGCTGTCATTCCGCCCAGCTGTCATCGGGAATACTTTTTGCCGCAAATACGGAACATTTTTCGAAACATCCATACTGCTCCTCTCAGACTTGAGATTTTTAATCTTCTTTTCAACAAGGGACTCAAAATTTTCATTTTTTGATACCTCCTTAGTTTTGTTGCCGAAAGATTTTCGTGTACCCATTCTCGGTGACATCGGCAAATTGTCTATATCAACATCTATGTGCGTGTCATCTTCTCCAGGAAGAATCCCACCATTTACAGATGGCAGTGACTTGAGATCATCACCAAGATCCTTCCCTAGTGTTGATACTGTTCCTTCCGATGCAGATTCATTGTCGATATCCTGTCTTTCTTCGTCATATTGTGTTTGAGCTTGACAATCTCCCATTTGTCCAAAAACTGGACCTACTAAAGATACATCTGTTTGGTTACCTGGTGATCCACAAATAAGGATGCTTCCAACATCATTCTTCATGTCATTTCTATCTTCGCAAGTGTTTCCACCGAACAAAGAAGAAAATACACCATCGTACCATGCAATATCGGAAACACCACCAGGTACCGTCAACGCCTCTGAATTAGTTTTAGTGTCAGCGATGCTTTCAACATCTTCACCCATTTTTGAAGCTTTCATCGTCAGATACTTCATGTGATCCGAAGCTCTCTTGCTGCGAATTTCTTCGGCTTTCCCGCCGTATCGATAGTTACTGCCACCGAAGTTATCGCCATTCTTTTCTTTCGATAATTTTGTTCTTGCGTTGGCTTTCCTCAAGTCCAAGCCAACTTCATTAGTACTGGCTACAAACACCATGCTTTTTTTTCATTTTCAAAGTCAGTGCCAAAAAATTATCACACTAGGTGTGACGATGGCAGAACGTAATTTCTTTTCCTGTCTCTCTCCTGTACCATCAACACGACGAAGTTAACATGATTTCGATAAATCCTGATGGAATTTGGGAGCATTAATGTGTGAGCGTTAAAGTTCGGCTGGCGTTGTATTCTGATCGCTAAACCGAAAACCTGACGAGACTATGGACAATCACGCTGTAAGCGTAAAAAGGGGTCATCCTTTCAAACTATCAAAAGGGGGAATGATGTTCTTTGCCTACTCCATTTTGGATTTTTGTACTACCGTACGGTACGTAAGGTAGCGTCAGGGCCATAATTTAGAGGGGAGAGCACCCAATCGAAATTTTATATTCCACGTGTGGTCCAAATTTCAAAAAATTCACCTACTGCTAGTTGCATGTGCAATGTGCCATGGTACTAGGAATTTCCGACTGCAGCAGCAGTAGTACCACAAATAAAGAGGTCAACAAGTCCTTTCTTTTTTGCGTGGTTTAGATGACAAAAATCTTACTTTGACCAAGCCTTTTGGAGGTTCTTTGACAGGAAAAATGTCTGTGCCAGAAAATACTAGTAACCTACAAAAATCCTACACCAGTTGTATTATGGGGAGAAATTGATGGAGCAGAGACAAGAATTTAATTTATTTTTGGTATGATACAAATATCCCTAACCTTGTAAGAAGTAAGAATAGATGATTATTTTTATTCAAATTGGTCAAGTAGCAGAGGCTTTCACTAAAATTCTGATGACAAGGACAACAAAACTTTCTGAGTGTGGATCCCCGAGTGCCCGATGAGGAGAATTGCTTGCATGGTGGTGTATATTTTAAAATTAAGTTTAACAAATGTAGTCTCTTGGATGCTATTTTTCTTTACTAAAACAAGATCCTTGGTGGTGAATTTTTGCAAGCAAGATCTCTTCATCATGATGCTGGAATAGGGACTGGCTGCTGGAGGAGAAAGAAGATGACAATGACAGAGTACCAGCAAGAACTGTTTGATTTTCAAACTCCAGCTCAAGCAGTTGCTGTTTAAGAGGACAACAGTGTGGGGATTAATAGATCCTGGGTACTATGTAGGGTAAGTTCTTGGGTCTGAGAAGGCTGTTGGAGGGGAGGATTATTGCTGCTACTGCTGCTATTGTTGTTGTTGTTGTTGTTGCTGCTGCTGCTGCTGCTGAAAATGTTGTTATCCTCACTATTCTTGTATCCTTGTTCCAAATCAAACTCGTCGCTTCTTTATTTCCAATACTGGCCATTTACCCAATCAAGAACTTGATCTGGTTTGCAAGCTGGACTTTCTTAGGCATCATGTTTGGTGGATTCCCAGCACCAGTAGGAATTTCTTCTTGTTTCCTTTGGAGAGGGGCACCATACTTCCTACAAATTGATTCCTTTTCTCTTCTAGTAGGACCATACTACTAAGGCCACAAAGTTGCAGGAGTATGTTTCTGAACAGCAACCTGGTCCCATAATTGGTCTAGTAGTCCAATTTGAAGAACAATGTCCCTTATGATGTCCTATAGCATTCATGTTCAAGATCTCAGCAGCACTGAAATTAGCAGTAGCACAAGTGCATGCCTCTCTCTCAACTGCCACAGCAGGGGGAGGAGGTCTTGATACTGTTGTTGTTGCTGCTGCTAGACCAGCAGTAGTAGGAGGGAGGGGGATTTGACATGGTGGTGGATACAGTAGTAGTAGTAGTACTCCTCCTGCACAGCTTCTTGATAAAGATTGCATTTGGATTTTCTGCTGGTTTGTTCTCTCTCTCTCTCTCTCTCTCAAGAAGAAGCCAATCCTCTCTCTCTCTCAAGAAGCACCTGTTCCTTGCCCAACATGTGGCAGAAAATGAAGCTACTATTACTATTACTAGTACGAATAAGGTACTAATCATCAGCAGCATTTTTGTTTTTTTAGTAACTGGGTAACTAGTACCTTGCAGTCTAGTCCTAGTAGTTGTTCAAGTACTACTACTAGTAGAGAAGAAGCCCCCATCATCATGGTCTTTCTTGATACTCTTCCTCATCTATCAACTCACTATTACTACTACTAGTACTACTAGTCTTCGTTACTAGTATGCTGCTGAGTTCTTGATTGAATGGCATTGTACTTTATTTGCGTCTTTCAAGACTCTTAAGAGTGCTACTATATGTTTGGGCTCACCATTGAAATTGTTATGTCCTGTATCTCAACTGAAATATGCATTGGATGACATATCCAATGGTACTACTACTAGTAGTAGCTCCCTCTCACTGTGTACATATTTTCAAGCCAAGCATTAGTATTTGGTGACCGCTGAGAAAATAAGCTTGTATACTAGCAGCAGCGAGAATTCATAAGTTACAAAATCCGCGGTGTGAAGAGTTGTTCAATCATTATTCTCCTCTCGTCGACTGAATGAGATGTAGTTCAATGTTCGAACAATTAAAGGTTCTTAAGAACCAATTTCGTCATGACACTAGATTACTTTTCTCACGCTGAGTACGGCTGACCTATATGCGTCACTCGTTCGGAGGAAAAGCCGTAGACGGAAAGTAACGAAACCGTTTCGAATAACGCGTTCTAAAGTAAGGGGTATTCCAAGCAGGAACAAATTCTAAAGATATAACATGGTGCTCTAGCCCCTAATGAGCACTTCCAACGCGTTTGTCGTACTTCCGCAACCGATTATGTTCATACCGCTCTCAAATCGAATAATTGTATATTGAAAAGGGGATTGTGTTCTTTTAGTAAATGTAACATCTTTAAGCGTCTTCCTCAGCTCGTAGTTTGGCGTTGGCATTTGTGACACGGATAGCAAGTTGTTCAGCTCTTTGCACGATATCCTTTCGGACTCGGGATGAAACAGACTTCGCAACAGTTGCGGCGTATGTACGGTTGTGCATCATAAGCATTTCCAATTCAGAAACGTTGTTGATAACAACGGTCTTGAACCCGTTAGGTGCAATGTTTCTGGTAGTCTTATCGGAACCGTAACCGATACTGGGCATGGGGATGGCTCCCTTGAATCGACGACGGACGCGACCATCGATACCCTTTGGTTTGCGCCACGAGGAATCGCGAATGCGAATAAATTGGTCGGACTGATGCCGGGCGAACTTCTTTGTTCGCTTCTTGACAATAGTCTTCTTATTAAGAGGGATTGGACCTGCCATCTTGATTCTGGAGTTGGGAAGCAGGGGGGAAAACAACGGCGTTGTGAGGGGCTATCCGGGAAGACGATTAGCCGAATCTGATAACAAACCAGGGAATCCGACGTGAAATTCTCGTGCAACAAGAATATGTGTTTCCGCTATCACTGACATTGAAACAACCTAATCGTCATGGTGGTGCATTCACACTTACATTGCTGTATGTATATTGTTATTACTACTGCGACAATGGTGATGAAGGCGTTGCTTGGATGTCTACTCGAGTCGTTTCTTCTGTCTGTCGGTGTGAGCTGCCCTTCGTTTTCACGAGAATCAATGCACGTATGAAGTAATAGTAATAATGGTAAAGCGGTAAAGTCTCTTTCAGTACTATCAATTCTTATGATTCATATCCTTTATATTTATCTTCCATATTCTTCAAACGTAGTACGATGATACCCGCAAGACGAAAGACCGTTATAAATTTCCGAGTAAGACGGACTATTTCGCGCGGACGGTGAGCTAACTTTAAAAACCGTTACCTTTTACCCAACATGGTATCGATTTTTCTACACGAAACTACGACGAAACATGAAAGGAATGCAAATAATATCTGTGCAGTGGAGAACAACAAACAAACCAGATGACACCAAAATCTAAGCATTGAATTCAATACTCTCAATTCTCGATAGAGAAGGGATTCATTTCATTGCCTGATATTTGTTCGGAAGTAAGAATCCAAGATGAAAGTACAATCTAAAATGAAAACTATCTTATTCTGTGCATCGTGTCTAGCATCGACCGTTCTTGTTGGTGCGGAAGACAACGGCAATTACAACAAGTACTACAACAACAACAACAACAACAACAACAACAACGCCAATAACAATGGCAATGGCAATGACAATGGCAATGACAATGGCAGTGCTTATAACAACAACGGATTCTCTGTGTGTTCTGATACATCAATTGAAGTTCAGGACGTACAAATCTATTGCGATAGCCCTGGGACCTTTTATTACGGAAGCGGAAAATATCGAAACAGTCAAAATTGTACTTCGGGCGACAAGGGTAAATTCTTGATCGACTTTTACATCAACGACGCCGAAAATATCAACATCAATGGACAACCTGTTCTTGATATAAAAGCAGAAGGTAGTATTGGGTGGTACGAAAGAAACCAGCAAGTGCTCGATAACGCCGATCTATGTTCCCTCAGCTCTCTAAAATCATTGGATGGAAGTGTTTGTCCAGCGGCAGGGAAGTACCGCATCAAATCTAGTTTTTACTGGGACGAAGATAGTAATGAAGTTGGTGGCTATTACAATCCTGTGTTTTATCCTAAGCTATCAGTCGGGATAAAGTCAAGTATTTACCAAAACACGTACGACTACGGAGGAGCCAATACGCCATACTGCAGTGGAACAACTTTCTTTACGTCCTGGACGAATAACGTGAAAGCTATTTACGCAGACAGCGTTTCGAACTTTTTCAAGAGTTTTGGAATATTAATGTTCACCATCGCGGTCATGGGGATCTTCATATTCGTCATGTTCAAGAGGAGGCCCAGAACGTTCCAATACGCAGGCACAACGAGTGCGAATAACAATGAGACTGTGGAAGAAATCTCTTACGGCGAGCCATCTTTCTCTGGCAGCGAAGAATTCGACTTCAATAAGATGAAATCGCCTAGGGCGAATCAAAGTTTTTTGGACTTTTAAGAAAGACCTGAAATATCTCGTTTTTTCGTTTTCTCCTAGCGTTGTACCAGTATTCATGAAACATAAATTACATTGATATATTCTAAACTTCTAAAGATATTCTACAAAATAAGCATTTTAAGTGCTTCAGGATCCATGCGTTAAACAAACCAATGTTCTTGCGTCATCCCTTTCTTGGCTTTCTTAGCTTCTTGACGAAGTAACATTCAACAGGAAATTTGGGAAGAGGTAAATTTCACTTTATTCTTCAGCGTGTTGGGGCTTTCGATATGCTTGGAGAAAAGCCTGTAAATATCATAGTACGGATATGAATGGGACGAAAATATTAAAAAGAAGTTCAAGGGTAACGGTAGGTGGTTCGAGACATATTCATCGCTTGACGGTCACAAATATTACACGAGTACTCACATTTTGAGGTGTGATATCGGAGTTGACATAATAGTTCAATTTGTTGACCACCGTTTTGTCGTCTTTGGTTTCAAAAATAATTTGATCAATATATTTGGACCTTCCGAAATCAATCAGTCGTTGGCATGCACGACCCAACCCTTGAATAGTACACGACAAATCCAGTCTTTCAACAACGGCTGATATGCTGGTTTCCATATTTTTTGCGTCATGGTTTCTATTGTTTTCAAAAATTGGGTTTGTGTGATCCATGTCATTATCTACAACCAAAGACTCCATCGTATTGGAAGTGCCTTTCGATTTTCCTCCTCTGGTTGCCACTGTGGCTGCGCTCCAACGACGAAGCAAATCGAATTCCAATGGTCCAAACGACGGAACCTTGCTAGCTTCATCATTGGACTCCTCGCCTTCCATGACCCCACGGAGAATATCTCGCCCGACATAATGCTTCCAATCACAGACTCCATGGCAGCAGGTAGCAAACAGACATCCAGTAACCTTTTGACGAATAGGTTCAATAGCTTTTAGTGCCAAATCAGTTCCCGCTCCGCAAAGATGTTTTGCGATAACAACAATTTTGGCATTCTTAAATTTCTCATCTCTGTGAAGGACTACCGGTAGGTTCACATGGGAAACGTCACAACAGAGTCGGCACCAGTCAATACCATCAAGCTTTAGGTAGGGCTTGTCGGTGCAAACGTTCTTCGGAATGTTGCGGAATGCTTTGTCGGCTTTTGATCGGGCACCCGCTCGATCCAACATGAAAAAATGTGTATTTGCTCCACACACATTTGCCACACCTGCAGCTGCCAATCCGAACATACCACGACCGGCGCCCATTTCAAGGATTACCAAAGGTGAATTTTGGGCCGATGGAGACGAAGAGTCGCGAGCATCCGTAGCGACAGCAGAATGAGAAGCAGAATTTTCCTTCTCATTCTGTCGGTCGAAAAGACCCATTTGTTTCAAATGACCGATTAAACTAGCGATTTGTGTCGTGTGTTGAATACCTCCACTCTTGACATGATGCGATAAAAATCCTGCCTCTATCCCTGCATCTATTTCTGGTCGAGACAAGTCTTTCACTTCGATTGCATCGTGAATATCTTGGCACGTCAAGGCCGAAATATCACAGGTATTGTCATTCCTAAAAATTGACTGATGAGCTCGCAGAACCCGACGAGCGATACGCTGAGCCCAGGTAGAAGTGCCTGGCTCGAATCCCAATTTAGACTGAGAAATTGGTGTTACTTGTTCGGTAACATCTAGTCGACCGTAACCCCCACAGTTCACATTTTCTAAAAAGTACGGCTCCTTCTCCTGGCGTTTCTTCTCTTTGGCTCGAGGACAGATCAAGATATGTTTTTTGAGATTGTCCTCAAAAATCGTACTGTGTGGTAAGGAATTTGAAAATCAGTGAGCATAAGACAAATGCATGCCATTTTGTCGACTCGACAACGAGAAATGTCGAATCCAAACAGGCAGGTTGAAATATACATTAAAAGTCTTACTGTGATGGGTCTATTGGACAAGGAATTCTTTTCCGAATTTTCTTTTTTTTTCCAACTGTCGAACAAGATACGTCTTGTTCTTCTAGGTGCTGATGGTTTCCACAGTATTTTTTTCCATCCGCTGGCCGCTGCTTGCAAAAACGCTTTTTTCTTTGCACATAAAACTGACACCGATCCCAATTCCCGGAGGGCTCTGGGTGTCCCTCTTTTTTCTGTCTTTTCTTTTCTCTTCCATCTGTCTCTGTTATGTCTCTCATCTTTGGGGAGGAAGAGGTGACTGTCGGTGCTTGTGCGCTATGTATCGGTGAAGATTTGCTATCGAAAAAATGGAACAGGATGATCTAGCAGGAACTATTCCAGGAGAGCCCCCGATAAATGTTTGTCACACGACGTACTCGAGGGGAGTTCAAATGGCTGAGAATGTTTTGTTTTTGGGGTCTATTTTAGCTCACTTTGGGGGAAGGCTAACCAGAACTTAGTAATTACCATAATTGATTGAGTTCATGAAACTAATTTCTACCGAAGCCAGGCATGTTACCAGTCGTGCAACCAAATAGTTTTGTAATTCCTACTTTAACACATGCTACTACGGTTTCAGCAATTTCTTAATCACATGAGAGTCATTACACAGTTAAATGATAGCCCAAAATTGAGGCACTGTGTTATTTTAACCATGTAACTGTTTTAGTCTTCTTGAACTGCTGACACTTTGAGCTGTATCTTGGTCCCCAACAGCAGACCCTTACTACTACTAACAATGATAGTAGGCACATGAATCAAATCCTAGTAGTGCACCTAGTAAAAAGAGGATTCTAGTCATAGTATGATGAGGGAGTTGGGAGGTCCTAGTAGTGGAATATTTTGATATTGATGTACAAGAAATATAGAATTATAAAATGTACAAATGGTTTGGGCCAGAAACGCATGGCCAAGCCTACTATACAATATATTTTTACCATATAATTGTGTTAATCATGAACTCCTGACAGTTTGAGCTGTAAGTTGGTCTGCAATGGTGATGGTTGCTTAACAGATGAGATAAGCACACCATAATGTTCCTAATAAGAAAGAGGAGGATTCTAGTCATGTGGGGGAGTGTGTGTGTGTGTGGGGGGGGGGGGGGGTGTCTCTAAAGATATTGATCAATATACACAGAGTGTGGACTTTCATGACTGTCCATTGTCGATGCTGTGCTTGCTTCTGAGAAAGAGTGTGGCCATGAAGGTCTCTGTTCCCAGAATGAGATACTATAAGAGGTAGTACTAGTAAGAAAGAATTCCACTAGATAGCCCACCATACTATTTACATACTCTGATGAAAAACAGAGGTTGACTATGATACTAGAGGGTCATTTGGCACTCAATTTTGGCATCACCATGAAAACAGTTTATGATGTGATGAACAACAAATAGTACTAGTAGTAGTAACTCCTTGTTCTTACTACTAGTAGTACTAGTACTAGTAGTCGAGTCAGACATGATTTTTTGTACCCCTCTTTAACTGGTACTATTTGCACTATTTAAAATTCCAAACTCCCTATAAACTGGCAAAAAGCTGGCATTCTGTCCCTTTTCTGTTTGTCTACATTTACTTCAGTAGTCAATTTAGACGTTTAGCGTTTAGTCGATCTAGATTAATCTAAATTAACGGCAATGGGCGATTCCCGTTAATCTAGATGGTCTAAAAGTCTAAAGTAGACCTTTTAGACTTTTTAGTTTTATGGGAATCATTAAAAACAGGCCCCCAACGGACTAAATTTTTGGCGCTCTTCTGCTTTTAAGGAATCCGGAATCTCAACAGAAATGACTAAGACTGGACGGACACGCGCGGGCGCCCTTTTTGAGTACCAAGTAAAACATGAAATTTTCGATAATTACTAAACGGGTACTACTAGTGTAAAAATTCAACAGGGCTCATAATCAAGCTGCTCCCTAAACAAAAGACAGTAGTTCTCTTCCAGCAAACAAAAGGGATACAACAATGGGTGTCATTGAGACCCTTTGCATATACTGGGCAATCAAGCACAGAGGTCGTTTGGTAGAGGAATGGGAAGAGCAACAAAAGACCCCTGAGGAGAGACGCAGGAGGGACAGGAGAACGCCTAGGATTGCAATTAGGAGATATGCGGACTCGCCATTCCTGTTCCTCTTCCAGTCTGGTTGTGACCAAGCTCTCCTCAACTGCTGTGGTGTAGACCACAGGGTCTTCAGGGATCTCCTTGAGCTGTTTGCTCCAGCTTTCAACAGATACTCAGTCAACAGGAACAATGAAATTGTTCTTCTTCCCGCTGGCAATGGAAAAAAGAAGGGGAAGCCAAGAGAGGCTGACGCAACTTGTTGTCTTGGACTAGTGCTCTTCTGGTACAGGACTAGAGGATCTGTTGCAAGAGGAATAGCAATGGCATTTGGTCTTACATCGACTGTGATGTACAAATGGCTCAAGTTCTCCATGAGGATCCTGCTATCAGTGCTCCACAACCATCCACTCGCCATGGTCAGTCTGCCAAGTGAGCAAGAAATCAATGAGTATGTTAGGGCAATTGGAGCAAAATATCCAAGGCTTGGAGGAGAACAACACGTGTGGACAGCAGCAGATGGGCTCAAGACAGAGATCCAGACCTCAGAGGACTGGCTTAAACAAGAGGTCTTCTTCAACAGATGGAAGGCAAATACTTACGTGAATGGGGTGTTTGTCTTTGCACCTGATGGTAGGATCCGCATTGGAATCTTCAATTACCCTGGCACGTGGCACGACAGCTCAATCAGTGACTATGGAGTCTACGACAAGCTTGCCCAAGTGGACAGTGCCTCTGCTGGAGGAGCAAAGTGTGTTGTTGATTCAGCATTTGGCTTGTTGGGCAGAGGCTACCTGATTCAGAGCTCTCAGAATGATCCAGGGGAGGGGGACCTCCTATTGAATAGGGACGCCACGTCACTTTGACAGATGTCGGAGTAGGGGATGAGGATGATCCAGGGACAGTTCCCAAGGATGAAGGATAGGCTTAGATTGGAGGACTTCGGGGAGAGGAAGGTGATCATTCACTTGATGATCTGCTTGTACAACTACCAATGCAGTACCATTGGACACAACCAGATCTTGACAGTCTTCATGAAGATGCCACCGGCGACCCTCGAGGCGATGGAGACGCCTCATACCCTTGAGGCGTTGGCTGATGGGTACTTCCATGAAGGGAGGACTGTGTCTCCAGTTGGAAACAATACATTCTTTGAATAATTCCCATGGTCAAAGAAGAGGATGTTAGATTCATTAAAGACTGATTAATTAAACGCAACGACGATTCAACACGTCAATCCAACGCAACAACGATGCATTGAACGCAACGATTAAGCAGCAACGCAACGCGTATCGATTCAACGCAGCAACGCAACGTCGATTGCAGCAAAGCAACGCAACATAAACTTACAGGAGTCCACCATGGTGGAGGGGGAGGTTGGTTAGTTTCGTTGAGGTCTGTTTAGTTCACGGCAGATCTTATTCATTAGTTTAGTAGTATCATGAAATAGTGAGCAGTAAATAAAGCAGCGCAGTTCCTTCTTAACACGCGTTACACCATGTTGTTCTAAAATTATTGCCGTGGATTTCTGTGGTCGTAGTAGCAACATGGGTTTTCTTGTATACCTTTCGTGGGAGTCGTTGTAACTGGAATATACTGCAATGAAGACTAATATCTTCAGAGCGTGAATATATAATGTAATGAAGATAGATGATACAACCAATGCATGTGAGTGCCGATCAATGCATATGTTTGGCATGTGTTTTGAAGGCGAACCCCGGTTCGTGGGATTGCATCATGTGTGCTTACTATGAATTCTGTCGAAATCCTGGTTTTCATCGGTATACTTCTAATCCCGTTTTCATCTTTAGTATGAGCAAAAGTGAGAACAACACGGTGTAACGCGTGCTAAAAGAAAGCTTATCAGCTCCGCATACTGCTCATTATATTGCTTTTTGCTGTACTAAGAAGCCGAGTGTTGTTCTTACTACTAATCGTTTAATTGTTTACTAACTGAGCTAATTGAAACATCGAAATTAGTTGTTTTCACCATGAGATTCACTGTCAGTTCGCTGGCGCTTTGGCTGGATGGTACCAGCTAGCGCCATTGCAATAGTTTCCGCCATGGTAAGCCAACGTTTGTCTCTTGCGTCTTCCTGTTTCACTCTTTCGGCTTCTCTTGCGGCTTCCATTTCAGCAGCACGGTTTGCTCTTTCAGCTTCGCGTTTTGCTCTTTCAGCTTCCATCTCAGCAGCCTTCTTGTCTCTTTCAGCTTCCCTCTTATCCTGTTGCAAGAGATAATCCTTAAGAACAGCATCCTGTTCAGCAATTTCCTTCTTCAGTCTTCCATAAGATCTCTTTTTTGGTGTTGCGACAATGGCGGTCGATTTGGCAGTCGACGCTGTTTTGCTCGATTTGCTTGCTTTTAGAGTCAAAGCGTACTGCAAGTCCTCATCCAAGTCCTCATCATCCTCATCATCGATGTAACCTTTGACTGGATCAAAGATCTCCTCTCCAGTTCCAATATTTGCCTTGATTCCAATCAACCGGTGGGCCTCTCTTGCAAGGCGTACTGACTCGGGAATATTTGGATTCCCAGTAGGAATCTTCATTCTCCTCAGTCGATTGAACTTGGTCTTGATGGAATCCTTTGTTCTTCCATAGGGCCAGTCTTGTCCATGTCTGTGAACCACCATGAGCCAGTCTCCCTTACCAATGGGAAGGATCTTCTTGATGAGAGTCATCAATGAGACGAGCTCTTCTTCTGAGTAGTTTGCAGTACCGGCCTTACGGCCTGACCCCTCTACTTTTGATTGACCTCCCGGGGGAGGGACAGCTGGTGGTGCCGGTGCAGCTGCTGGAGGAAAGCGTCCCCCATTACATGGAGGAATGGTAGCATAAGGACCAGTACGAGCAGTCGACATGATATTTCTTGTTGTTGCTCGCGGAATGAATATTGTGTGAGGGATGTTGCTCCCCCTCGCTGTCTCTGTCTCTTGAGACAAGACCTCCAGCAAGAGGGCCTCTCTTTGTTTTGATCTAAGATATAGCAGAACAGCAGTGACTAAGACAGGGGACATCATCTTTTATGTCTTTATTCCATGGCGCCGGCGCTTTCTTATTCATTCTTAAGGAAAGGTTTAGTGACGTAGTAAAAATTCTTTCAGTCTTAAATTTGGCGGTCTTTTCAGTTGAGTCCTACAACGGATTTTCATTCTTGGATTCCGGTCTAGATTTAGACTTTCTGTCAAGGCAGGCTCCTGCGTTGACAGAAAGTCTAAAAATTCGGACTAGAAAGTCTATTTTGGGCTGTCTGTCCCTCGAAAAGTAGACCATCTAGATTAACGGGAATCGCCCAATCACCCTTTTTTCTCCCAACAAAAGCACGTTTCTAAAACGTCCAGTTGAGGAAATTCAGAAAGGGGATGGGCACGTTTGCCAAGTACAGTACTTCGTAAAAATGAAACCGAGTCGTGGTCGTGGATTTGTTTTGAAAAACGAGTTCTATATGTGCCGTACTAATCTTACGTACCAGCTACGGTATAGACTCATTTACAAGATTGAGATACTGTATTTTTTTTTCACACATGTGTCAACAACAACCGTTGAATTGATCACGGTACAAAAAATAGTTGTACTCGTACTCCTATGATTGTTCCTTTTCATACCATTCTGTACTCGCACGAAGGGATTTGTTCTTTGTAGAAGGCCCCATCGTGTTGCGGTATGGTCAACGTGCATCGATTGCCTTTTAGCATGTGATGCGGTACGCTATTGGTTTTCCATAGTGCTTCTCAATGATATTGCCGTTCCTCGACTGAGTTTCTTTGCTTTAACCAACATACACCAGCACATAACAATTCCAACCATGCGGCGTCTAAGATCTTGGGTTGCAATCAATGCATGCATGCCGCGACTCCATCTCGGGAGGAAATCGCGGAGTGGAAATGGCGATCAAAGGACAACCTGCTCGTGTGTAACCGTCCGAGCATCGAACCTGTCAAATGCCAGCGATGTATGCATCGAACCATCAAACCAAGAACCCATGTGGCCAAACGAACAACGAAACGGCGAATCTCAGCAGATACTTATTGGCCATTTTCAACGATCGGCGACGCTGATCTCTCGTAGCTACCGTTCTTCGCGAATGTTGGTTTGTAGCCCGAGAGTAAGCCAAACTGTAAGAAATTTTCTCGAAGAGCAGACTTCAACGAAGAGGACCACAGCAGCAACAACAGATTGTACAACGAAGGCACCAACAACCAAAATGAGCGATTCATTAATAGGCTTAGTAAAGAACAATGCCGATCCCGTTGAAATACATGCCATGGCTGACATCTAATAGAATGATGTATTACAGGAACATAAAATATAATCAGATATTTTATTTTTTCCAACACTATTTGGTGCCCACGGTTTCCACAATATATCCTAATGCTTACGATGCTTCACCGAATCGTTTTTAAGTCCACAAGAATTATGTCGGGGTATGAAAAAAGAGGAGTCGTATTTTAATGAGCATCGTGGGACAACCATCTGAAGTGTTTCCTCTCGACCGACGACAACAATAAGACTGAGAGAAAGGAATGAGACCGTTTTTCGGAAAAATCTTAGCTAATGCTTTTTTAAATATCATCAAAATCATCGTCGTCGTCGTTATTTTCTTCTGGATCGTAAAAGAAGTAATTTCCACTCTTCTTCTGCTCTTGGTCTTTTTGCGAACCGTGCTTGTTGATTCTATAGGATGGTTCGATTTCGATACACAATACGGAAACAGCAAAGTCAGATTCATATTTTTCATGAACAGGGTGTTTGGGACCAATTTTGGTAGCATCACGGCAGGTTGCAGGTAAGAAATTAAAACAAAGACATTAAAACCCCAGAGCCAACGCCAAGACGGCGCTCGCAATCGAATGTCGATTGCGACAAAGGGCGTCGAAAATGAAAATTCGTCATTCCAGCAATACACGTCACAAAGCTGTAAATGCTACGACAATTCCACACGTACCGTGGACGAAAGTTGACGGGATCACGACGGAAAGTAACTTCCAAACTCTTGAGGAACATATTCATTCCTGTCAGTAGAGACTGCGGTGCCGTCGCTGTTGCTTCGATTCCAGGTCTTCCGTGATAAACAACCACGCGATCTGCCAAATAGGTTGCCATAATAAAATCATGCTCAACCACGAATGCAGTCTTCTTGCTGTGCATAATGAAGCGTTTGATAACCTTCGCACAATTGATACGTTGTTCTGAATCGAGGTAGGCACTAGGTTCATCAATTAGGTAGACATCGGCCGGTTTACCTAGGGAAAGCGTAATGGCAAGGCGCTGTAATTCTCCACCAGACAAGGCTTGAACTCCATTGTCGATAATTGCTTCCATGGCCAAAGGCTTCATGACATCAGAAACGAACTGAGGGTGAACATATGCATCCCGAATGCGCTTGTGCAAGAGTTGGCGAGTAGTTCCCTTGAATTTGGGAGAAATTTTTTGGGGTTTGTAGCTAACATTTAGATCGGGGACACCAGCCTGGGAAGCCTCGTACTCGTATCCATCCTTTTCGAGTTTCTCTTGCTCGTCACTCTTTTGCAGACCGGCAAGCATTCTCACAAAGGTAGTCTTTCCGGTACCATTCTCTCCCAACAAGACAATAATTTCCGAATCAGTAAATTCTCCTCCCTCGATATGCAAGATGAATTTGTCCTTTCCACGAGTTTGCGTTCTCGTCATAGATGGGTAACTGTAAGACTTCATCAAATCCTCCTTTCTATCCGCTTCGGCACGTTCAGAGACCTACAAGAAATAAAAGGAAAAAACAACCAAAAGGTACTGTTTAGAAAAAAAGAGAATCTTTTCTCATTTACGGCAGGAATCCAGTTACTTGATAGAGCGCATCGACTATAGTCGGGACAAGGGGGATCACCATGTCTTTCTTGAATATATACAAAACATACCTTGAAAGACAAGGAGTCATTACGGAATCGCAAGTTCTCCGTGGGAATAAATCCAGCCAAAAATGCATTGATACCCTGTCGGACACTGAAGGGCATGGTTACCACACCGTAGGCACCAGCGGTCCCGTACAAGACACAAACATAGTCACTCAGGTAATCCAAGACCGCCAAATCGTGCTCTACCACAATAACGTAACGACGATCTGCATTCTTGGTGTTGACCAAAATCTCGCGAATCATGTGCGCAGCCGTAAGACGCTGCTTGACATCCAAATAGGAAGACGGTTCGTCGAACATGTAAACATCACTGGTTTGGATAGCGCAAGCGGCAATGGCAAAACGCTGAAGTTCTCCTCCTGACAAAACCCTGATTTCACGGGTTTGCAAGTGTGCCAATTCGGCAGTTTTAACGGCCCAGGTGTAAACATCCCTTCCTTCCATCTCCGACCGATCGTCTCGATCCTTGAGAATATCCTTGACGGTTCCTCTCAAGACTCTTGGAATGGCATCAACGTACTGCATTTTCATGGTGGCCTTCATTCGGTCCTCTAGAATCTGAGTAAAATAGTTTTGGAGTTCACTACCACGGAAATGAACCAGGATTTCTTCCCAGTCTGGAGGATTTTCGTACCGTCCAAGATTCGGTTTGGCCTTCCCCGCTAAGATTTTCAGGGCGGTCGATTTACCTATTCCATTCGTTCCGACTAAACCCAGGACCTGGCCGGGGCGAGGAATGGGAAGACGATGGAGTTTGAAAGAGTTGGGCCCATATCGGTGGGTAGTGTTGCCTTCCAAATCCTTTGGTAAGTTGATAATATTAACAGCCTCGAATGGACATTTTTTCACACAAATACCACATCCTATGAATTCCAACATTCGAAAAACAAAGCATGGTATATTAGGTTGGAACAAACAAAAGAAATTTAAAATACCAACGCACAAAGCCGAAGAGAACGCAAAGAATTTCTGAGCTAAGAGGAATGCAGTTCTGTTGTAGCATACGGCGAAGAAAACTATTCTTCGTTCGTTACTATTGTCCTTGAATCTAAATCCACACAACGACGTACCGATACAAAGAGGTTCGGCAATAAAGGCCAGCTTGCTTTTGGGTGTAACCTCGATACAAAGTTTTCCAAGCTTGACAACGGGACAAGATTTTTTACATTCTTGGTTGCACTTTTTCGGTTTGCACTTGGACGCGTTGACGATGGCGATACGGGTCAACGAATCGTCTCCCTTCTTGTCGGCGTTCTTGCTAGACTTTTTCTTCGGCGGCATGGTGTTTTGTGTTTGGTTTGCTTCTTCAAATCAATTAGGTTTGGTTTGCTGCTGATGTCAACGCTGGTGTCCTCTGTGTTTGCTAACCCGATTGTATGCATTCGATGCAACCAATTGTAACCTTCACTGGCCGAATCGCGATGGGGTCTTGTCAGATCGATGCGAGAGCCGGGCAAACCCAAACACAAACATCACCACAACCCAAAAAAGAACTTCAAAGTAGCCCAGCCAACAAACAACTTCGAGGTCGGGCACTCCGACGGAAGACGCGTTGTCAGTTGTCAGCCCATGCACACCTCTGCGCGAAAATAATTTACTGCTGTCAACGTGAGGTCAACACGCAAAGTCTGTTCGTCTGTCACCGATGGTTGCGAAAAAAGTTCAAAAATCGACTTTTTGCAAAAAGTTGAAAAATCCTTTCCCCCAAAATTAGAGTTACTCTCCCTCACGTATCTCGTAAACTTTGTTTTGGACACTAAGGAATCAACTTATGTGAGCCATTTAGTAAAGCAGCAAGAAGAAGGGTGATTTTCTTAGTGGTGGTGCAAACCTTCTTCCTTGATCAATATGACAAGGTATGTAAAGCTAATAAGTTCATCTATTTACAGCATAAAAAAACTAAAATAAATCAAAACACATCAATGCAAATCAATACCAAAACCTTTTATGCTTTCCTTTAGGGGAGGTACATTACTTACAAGCCCTGAATGTTCTGTAAACTATCTGTTGATCGCGTTCTCGGACGCTTCGCATATCCAATACTAAGCTACTTGGTTGGTTCAATATTTATATTACTCCCCCCCCTATAAATATTTTGAAAAGGAAGTTGGCTGCGAGCTAACGCTGCTATGAAAATGTGGCGTTATTCGCTGCTGTACCCCAAGAGTCGTGGATCTGTTCGGAATCGCGTCCTTCCTCGTTTTCGCTTTCGTTGTCGTCGACGACTTCCTCGTCGCTTTCTTCGTCCCGACCCAATTCAATCGCAATCTCTTCGGCTTCGTTTTGCGACAGCTCATGAGCGACATAGTAGAGAGCAGAGCTACCCGTGGATTGATCAATCAAAATCTGTCGAAAGATCAAGCAGAAGAACAGTGAGAGATGAATCGCACTGAAAAATCTTGCGCCATTCTATGGGACAAAAAAATCACTTGGGTGCACAACAAAATTCTTACCCGATCCAGCTCGAGTTTTGAGTAGTACGATGCCATGAACACTCCACAGCCACCAAACAACAATCCGGAGACGATGGTGACGATCTTCACCGTTGCGTTGCTAGTGGAAGCAGTTCKGTCCGACAAACTCGAGGCGCTGGCACCGATTGAGCACAGCATTATGATCCCCGGTAGCATGGCCAGCAAAGCAATCGAGTAGTGCTTCAGCGAAATTGAGGTGACTCCGCTGATATAATCTAGTGCGTTGTACGGGATGAGAGGGCTCAGTCGCAAGAGAACCATGATCTTTAGACCCTTGGTCTCGAGTGCCCTTTCCAGGACGCAAGATTTTTGTCAATGTGTACATCCAGAAGCAGAAACAAGGAGTCATGTTCAGTCGACATGATGTTGCGCCAAAAAAATACCGGGATCCTTTTCGACCGATAGATACGGTGTCGAAAGGAAATCTCTGAAACATGCACGATCGTTTGCTTACCGTTCGATTGCTTGAAAGATCGGGTAGGAAAACGCGAGTTGTAGGACACAGTCGCGAAAAAGATATCTGCCAAGAAGAAACGAGCAGATCGAACCAATGGAAGCGCCTAGAAATACACACTGGAAATAGCAAAATTACATCCGTTAGGGTCCGCCTTTGTCGAGTTGCCAAATACCAAATAGAAACGCCGAACTATATCAATGGTTTTGTCATTTTCTCCCTTCGATTCCATTTCACAACTATTCAATACTTACACCCGAGGAAAGGGCAATGCCCATGAACGTAGTGTCGACCGACGATCCAATCGCGAATCCGGCGCCAAAGGAGAGCAACGAACCGGGAATGAAGCAAACCGTGGCGACGATGTAGCACAGTATCACCGCGATCATGCCCTCATAGGTGTGCTCGCGGGTCCACTCCAGGAATCCCACCAGGGCCGACTCGATCTTCCGGTCGCGAGCAAAGTCGACGACGACGCAAAGTATGCACGAGAGCAAGATCAGCCCAACCAAGAAACGCACCACGCGCTTCCTGCGGTGATCACGATCCCGTTGCATCGGGGCCTGCAGCAACCGTCGGGGTTCTAGAACTCGACTGCCGTTGCAGCCCAGGCCCTCTCCGATCCCAGGGGGGGCTTCTTGGATACCGGTTGATGGCAGCCCGTCGCTAGAAGTATCCGGGACGAACTCATCTCGTCTCGTTTCCACCATCCCTAGAAGACGGTATTTCGTGGTACGGGAGAACAGTCGTACTATCGCTTTCCAGTGGATCGAAAGGGATTCCTTGAATTCTCGAATACAAGTTACGTATCATCACCATCGCCATCTCAATAATCAATCAAGACTCTACGACAGAAATTCCAAGACCGCAGACCTAAGGAAATGTTGGGGCGGAGCATGTTACAGTATGATATAGGATTTACAGTCCGTAGAGCCGTTGCCAAGCGAACCGGAGGTCATCGAAAAAGAACAATTATTACAGTAGAGTACATGTACCATTCCTGGTACTCGTCCAGTATTGATGTGCACGCATTCGTGTTACTGTACCGTAGTAAAGTACTTCTAGAATCTTTTCAAACGTGTGTCAACGCACGACAATTGTGGTCGCATACGAGTAGTCTCGCAGCGAGGTTCGTTGAAGTTTCCTGAAAACAAATTTCCTGAAAACAAAACAGTCCTGCCCCATCCCTTCCACCTGATGTCACGTTTGATTTCAAAAACCGTCTCGCTTGCTTGCGGTTCGGTTTGCCGGTTGATGCAGCAGGTGGAATGGTATCTTGTATTTTATTTTCCCTTGACTATTCAACAATCCAACCTCGTCTAGTGCCAGAGTGCTGCAGTTGCGCCATCTCACGAGCATCTTCTTTGTGAAGGATCTTGTACCGTACCATACGCTGCATACTTACCAGGGCACTCGATAAAAATCGGATATTGCATCGTCGTCGTCGTAAACATGAACGCTCTCAGAACATCCATTCGCCACTTGCGGGGGTTTCGTCCAACCCCCATAGGACGACAGCATTGCACGTACTACACGCAAATCCGGCGTCCTGTTGTTCCAAAACGAGCTAGGCAATTCTCGTCGGTTCCGCAGCACGCGGCAGAAGAATGCGATGCGGCTGGCGGCATTTCCCAGGAAGAAATCGAGTGGCAGCAGCGCTGCCAGCTGGCGGCTTGTTACCGGGTATCCTTCATGCAGGGCTGGCACGAGAACATTTTCAACCACATCACGCTCAAGGTTCACAACTCGGACGATATCCTGGATGGCCCGCACTTTTTCATCAACGAATTTGGTACGGGCTTCGACGAAATGAGGGCCTCGTCGATCCTCAAGGTCAACCTGGACGGGGACGTGGTGGACGGCTACGGGACTAGCGGGAGGGTCTTCAAGCCGGGCTTTGTGATCCACTCGGCGGTCCACGGGGGCCGGCCGGACACCCACGCCGTGTGGCACGTACACCCCCTGGATACGACGGCCGTGTGTCAAACGAGGTTCGGCCTGCTGCCCATCAGCCAGGAATCGGCTCTGGCGGCCAAGCGCGGCCTGTCCTACCACCCCTTCGAGGGCACGGCGAATTCCATCGACGAGCGGGAGCGGCTGGTAGAAAGCCTGGGACCGACCAACCAGATCCTGATGCTGGAGAACCACGGCCCGCTGGTGGCGTCCCCCACGCTGCACCAGGCCTTTGCGGGGATGTTCTTTCTGACGCGGGCGTGCACCTTTCAGATCCGGGCGCTGGGCAGCGTCGGCGGGGACCTGGGCAAGATCCACGTGCCATCGCGGGAAGAGGAGGACGAGATACTGGCGCGGTCGAAAAAGTTCGACGACGCCCCCCAGGAGGGTGTCCAGCACGACTCCGACAAACTCATGTTCGAGTATGCCGTCCGTGCCGCTGAGCAAGCCTTTGGCGCGGACGACATCTACCGATAGGGCAACAAACAGCAACCTCATTTTCCATTCGCATCCCCACAAACAAGAGAAAGGAAACACAGGAGCGGATAGAATAAGGTATCGTATCTGTTCGAATCACATCGCAAATAAACGCTACTGCAATAATGGCATCAATGGGATTGATTAGGGAAGCGAATTGCATAGGATGGTCTGGCATCAGAATGTCAAAGTCGATTGATCCAATGCGCACAAGTTTTTTGAACCAGGCGGACTAGAGAATTCAACTTAAACCGATGCTGCTGCTAGCCCCAAACGATACGGGCACTGTTATAATGACTAATAATGATAGTATGTATTCGCTTCTAATTCATCTATTTACAACCCAGATAAAGCAGCGTATTATCTTTCTGTGCTCCAAGTGCGAAGACAGGCAGAAGAATTCGTTTTCTGCTTTTCGGTCGTACCATTATTATAACACTAGTCTACCCTTTTTCATTGTCTAAACTTAGTAAAGATATCTTGACGTTGTGGATAATATTATTAATGACAAGGGTTTGATTCAAGGAACGCATCCCTTTGTCGTATTTCAAACGAGTAATATAAATTTTGTAATGTACAGAATAAGGGATCACCATGGAGGTAGGGCTGGTTTCGGATAGTTATGGACAACGATGTCCAGAGAAAACGTCTTCGGTTTTCTCTCGAAAGAAAAACTTGAGGATGACTGACGTCATCAACGTCACTATCATGTCAAGCAGAGTTCGTTGCTACAACACTGTAGCAATGACTGTAACATCGCAGCCACACAAACTTTTTATCATCTAGGTGAAAACACCATCGCCCGACTTGTCTCTGCCCTTGCTCTTTGATCTTCGTTTCGAACCAGATCGCGACTTTCGATTTCCCTTGTCTCTCTTTGCCTTTTTGGCTTGGCGGTATTTGCGCATCATCATAGCTCTGCGCCTTCGTCTATTGGTGAAGAGAATACCCGTGAACATAATGAAAGATGCCAGCAAGAAACCACCGCCAATCACGTATTTCAATTTCGTAACCCATGAGTGGTGACCCCCGCCATTCACGGAAGACCAAGACTTCGGAATTCCAGAAGCACTCGAAACTCCGTTGCTGCGTGCAGTAAAAGAAGCGTCGTCTGTACAGAGTTGGTAGTCATACGACTGACATGGAGTCGAGTAGTAAACAAGGCTTGCGATAAGCGAATTTCCATCCCCATTGTTGTTACCACCGCCAGCTGAAGAACACGACTTGTAATTGTTCATGATGTTGTTGATTCCTTTCAATTCATCGTAAGTTTCGCCCGTTCGAGACATGCAGTATTGATCATTATAGTAGTTTAGGCTGAAGGCGCCATCGCTACAATCCAAACCGACGTAACCGTTATCACCTCCGTAGCACTCCGGAATTTCATCGTAGTTGAAGTTGTCATCGTCGTAATTAAAGTTTTGGTCGTATGCTTCGAGATTGCCTAGGAATTCGGACACTCCAGTTGTTGTCATGAACTGTAGGAGAATATAGAAAGCCATAAGAAGCACACAAAAAAGAGGTAAATGCCAAACATGCAATGCAAAATAGATGGTGAACGGTGAGAACAAGAGTACGGTGCAAATGGATTGTAGAAGAACGGAAAGTCCAAAGAATGTACGCTCAGACATGCTGAAGAATTCAACTGCGCATTGCATGCAATGCCGCAGATTAAATCATCCATGACACAGTTCTTGTTGTATCMTGAGTTGAACTACAGCAAACGGCAAGCAAAAACCAAAGCGAACAACGATACTCACCGAACCAACAAATGTACCAGAGTTACAAGAGGCGCTTCCAGAGTCAGATGCGTAGACAGAGTACGCTACCTGCGGACGTCTGCAGTTAGCCATCATATACCAATTKTAGGTACCATCTTCGGATTCGTCTTCGAGACATCCGGCTTCTTCCGAGTCGTAAACAACGCCCCAAACACATCCCAGAACCTGGATCGACAAGCTACTCCCGTCGTACAGCCAATCGCGTGAGGCGACGTTGCCGTATATTGAGTAGTCTTGGTTGTTGTTGTTATTATAGTTGCCCCAACCTGCCGCTACTTTTCCACAACATTGCACCAGCAGAAGGGCTAGCGAAAGGACAAGTGTGTTTTTGGGTGCAGTTGTTGCTTTGCCTCCAGCCATCTTGTGATCCGTGCTGTGACAGGTCCTCGGCGCCCCACGCGTAATGTTGTCGCATGTATTCATTTTGATTGTCAGTGCACTGTGTCAATAGCAGTTGTTGCTGATATGAGTTTTGAAAATGCTTGTTACCCAAAGACGAGAAAATCAAGTACCCTATGAAGACGCTGATGTCTAGTTGGATAAGGATCAATCACTCCACGTTCAGACTGATTCCAAATGAGAAGAGATGATGTTGGTATCAATAGAGGCGTCTCCTTGCTCTTTAGACTGACCTATCCTTTTCGCAGAGTGATGAGAAGCGTTGGTTGTTCTGTTTGCTTGATACTGGATCTATCGTTTCGATTCAATAATACTGATATCAAGAGCTTCTGCTTTCCTTCGTAATACTTGTTTCACTAGGTATGGGGCTACTGGTACTCGTACTGTTGCGCCGGTACGCTGGATTAGATACAACAAGCAAATGCCGGTATGACTTTCAAATACCTAAATTTCAACGATAGGTGACGCTGGCGTCGTTCGAACGTAATAAACCTAACGAGAGAGATGGTCGCGAATGATAAAGCCGCCGCGCGATACTACTATGTCTATCATTGGTGTGGGTTTTTGTGCCCAAAGCGCTCTTTGAGATATAAGAATATTCAGAACTGATTAACAATAATATCGAACGGCTCTAAATTAATGTCTTCTTCAGCACGCTTGAAGTACCGGTAGAGGAACCATTACGTACTCGTACTGTCTCGATCCGTTGGCATTCAAATCCCGTCAAGCCTCGGCGTTTGGCATGCGCATTGCGGCACAAAAGCGTTAGAAGTGAAATACTATGAAGTACGTATATCGTACGAAGTTACTAGACCACGTTTCTAATAGTACCGGTACCGGTACCGGTATGGATGTATCGTTATTCGTACATGTACCGGATGATCCTCGTAGTGCAGTGGACGATAGAGAGAAATCAGGATGAGAGTGCTGGACCCTCGCTCAGGAGCAACACGCGCGCATCCCCCTTCAAAATCCACAATTTGGGGGCAAGATTTCGTTACTTTGTGATTCCTGTTGATCTACGGTAGACGATCAGAAAGACCAAGGGAGAGCTCAGACGTTTGAAGTTCACAGATTGGTTTGGTGACTGTACTAGTAGCTATCCTTCATATCAGACGTAATTTTCAGAAACTGTTCTTCTTTTGTTTTCCTGAACCATAATTTATTAATTAATTAAGTAATGTAGCCGCACATCATGTGTGCCAGCAGAGGTCGCAATCATGCACAACGGCACCCCAGAATTCTCAATGTCTAGTAGTACGGTATGACCACCACACAAACACACTCCTAACACAGCAGCAAATGCAGTACCCCCCCTCCAAACACTACCAGTTTCTTCTGAGTTCTTGGAACTACTAGTACTAGTAAGATCACCAATAAATCCTTTACTATCCTCACCTTATCCCCCATATACTACTACTAGTAGTAGTATACTGCAACAAGTTTGGACTGATTGTGTTACTAGTAGTAGTAGAACTGGGGTTCCCTAGTAGAGAGGTATATTTTAAAATTTGGAACTGCTGCTCTCCGCCATTTCATTATTGCCTCCAACAAGAAGTCCACTACTACTACTCTCTACCATTTGTTCATTGATCTTTCACCAAGAAGCACTCCACTACCTGCTTCTGCCAAAAGTGTGTTGAGAAACAGATTTCTTCCACCAACTCACTACCTCAACCCCAGTATCATGACAAAACCCTCCACTACTGCAAGTGGTAGCACCACCAATTTAACTGCTGTGTATGACAATTTGATGTCAGATGGCAAGTCCTGCTGGGAGTGTGATGTGAAATTTCATGTTGCTAGTAGCAAAGCTAACAAGGTTGACAATCCTGTTCTAGTCAACCTGTCTGACATTTTCAGGGGAGGAGAGTTGTCTCTAACATTTTCCACTCACTTTGATGACCTGGACAATTGATCAATTTTAAATGTTGCATAAAAAATAGGAAGCATAAAGACTGGTTTCTTGTTACTTGTAACAAAGAGATCAAAAAGTCAGAAGAGATTGGCAATCCATGGCACTTTTGGAGCACATATCTATTTGTTGTGCTGTCAACACAACAGACTGTATAAGAAGGCAAAAGGTGTTTGTCAATGCAGTTCATTCCTCACTTTGTTAGTACTTCCATTTGGTGGTGATTAGATACTCAATACATGGGAAAGGAAACTTGAAATGGCAGAGAGTAGTTGCAAATTTTAAAATATACCTCTCTGAGGAACCCCAGCAGTAGAAAGTGTGCATGATGACCTCTGCTGACACACATGTGCGGCTAAGTGAGTTTTTTACTTGTGGAAAAATTCATCATGGTTCAGGAGAACAAAAGAAGAACAGTGTCTAAAAAATATGTCTGGTATGAAGGGTAGATACATATCCACCACAACCAATCTGAAATGTCTGGGCTCTCCCTTTACTAGTCTCTCTGGTAAGTACATCTAAACAATGGGTCATTCCTCTCAATCTACTGGTATGAGTACCGGTAGGCAATCTACTTTTGACAGACTGACAGACCAAAAAATAGATTATTTAGACAAAAATTTTACATCCTTTAGAACACCCCTCAAGACTCCTCACAGACAATTTAAATCCAGGATTGTGACCAAGAATGAAAAATATTTTTAGAGGCATGCCAGCAAAGTACTGGTACATCTGCAAACTACTACTGGAGCCACATTATCAGTATTTATTGCTGGTTCTTATTTTTTTATGATTCCAACTTTCTCAAAGAGATGTTGGTGGTTCTTTGAGCACCTACTAAAAACTGTCTGTTAAGAATCTACCTTAGTATAATGGTTCCTTTTAACTAGAAAATCTGAAGTAGATTGTTTGGATTTTTAGATCCTCACCTAGATGACTAGTGGGAATGAAACAAATGGTGATTCCCAATATTCTAGTAAATGCACTGCGAGGATTACTACTGGTACCACTAGGCTCAATCTGATAGTGGTAGACTGGCGACAGATGGAAAATGTATTAGCACATCTTGTTCAAGATTTAGTATTTTTGAATTGACACCCCCCTTCAAATATAAAGTAGTAGTATTAGCTACTAGTACTAGATTTTGAATGGAATTCACAACTGATTTTTTAGTCCATTGCATGGTCCAACAACAGAACAAAGCCCAGGTCTCTTTGCACACTTCCTCTTTTTTGTCATAACATTGAACAAGAACAATAGAAAAAAAACAAATTCTCCAAAAGATTGCTGACATTCAGCCAGTATTAGTAGTAGTGATACTACTAGTACTAACTACTATGATTACTCTTTTTCTTCTTTTTTCTCCTTATTTGTTAAACAATAAACATAATCTCTTATTTTATCTTTGTCAAATACAAGAAGTAACAAAGAGAAACAATGAGAAAAATATTGCCCACTAACCAAAGAGAAACAATTCTCTTTGTTTCTCCTTGGTTAGTGGGGTTCACAGGAAACGGGGGCCCAGCGTTCGCGTGACTCTAACAGCTAACAGCTAGAAGTACCGTACTTGCGCACTCTACCGTACGCACAAAATTCGTGTTAGATTTGCTTTAGTACCGGTACGAACTCGTACGGGTACGTACACGCGCTGAGCCTGTGATGCCACGGATAACATCAAAACCGGTACGAGTACGTATTGAAAACAATGCAATAGCAGTGACAAATCAAAGCCAGTTTAGGCCGCAACAGCCACCCCAGCGACCCAGCGAAGGCAGAAGTTCGATCGATCGAATAGTTGTCCAAGAAATATGGCGACACAACCACCCCCAGAAGCCAAACTCCTGGACAAATTCCCAGACGGGATCTCGGCGCTGCAGTATCTGCCATCGTCTTCCAACGAGGGTGGCAAAAGGCTGTTGGCATCCTCCAGCTGGGATGGCGCCGTCAGGGTACATGACACATCGAACGAGGCTTCKGCTTCGGCTTCGTCTTCTAGTCCTCTGCTACTCTCGCACAACATGGAGTCTGGTCCACTGCTGTCGTTAGCTGTTCCGGGGGCAACAACGGTTGTCACGGGAGGCCTGGATGGGAGCATCAAGTCGTTCGACACGGGCACTTCCACCGTGCGATCGATTGGATTTCACGGCAACAAGAACAGCGGCAGCATTCCCGGTGGCGCCGGTGTGGAAACCGGCAATGCTTGCTCGTGTCTGTCTTCCATGAGCAACGATGGTGCTTCTTCCGACGTGGTTGTGTCGGCCAGCTGGAATCGGCAGCTCTGTGTCTGGGATCTTCGGCAACAAAACAGTGGCAACGCTGCTGCCCGGTCTCTTCTTCCCGGAAAAGCTTTCGCCATGGACGTCGATGCCTCTCGAAACAGGATTCTGGTGGCAACCTCGGGGCGCCACAACTGCGTCTACGATCTGCGGATGCTGGAGTCACCAAACACGTTCGAGTTGAAATCCGTCCTGGAACGAGATTCCTCTCTCAAGTTCCAGACCCGCTGCGTTCGGCTTTTCCCCGAGGGACACGGTTTCTGCATCGGTTCGATCGAGGGCCGCGTGGGGGTTGAGTTTCTCGACGAGATCGGTGACGAACGAATGCTGGCGGTGGCCGGGAAGCAGAAAAAATACGCCTTCAAGTGCCACCGTGATTCCAACAGCGGTTTGGTGTATCCGGTCAACGCGATCGCCTTTCATCCGAGGCATCGCAACACGTTCGCCACGGGCGGCTGTGACGGGACGGTGGTCCTGTGGGACGGCCAAAACAAGAAGAAGCTGACCGCCCTGCCGGCGTTTCCGACGAGCATTTCGGCAATGTGCTTTTCGAACGACGGCACCGAGCTCGCGATCGCTTCGAGCTACACCCACGAGGAGGGAGACCGGGAGCAGCACCCGCAGGACGAGCTCTACGTTCGCAAGATTCTGGACAGCGAGGCGACCCCCAAGACGGCGGCTTGATGGAGCACGGAAGGCCGGACAATCCAAAGAGGGAGAGAAAGTCGGAGCAACGAATGCATGGAGATCACGTTGGATACTGTACCGGTACTTCGTTTGATTCGAGTCGATTCGAGTCGAGTCGACCAGTGTTTCTAGTGGTTAGAAGCAAATCATAACCAGGAACTTCTGAGCTGTATGGGGAGCTCAGAGAACAAGAGAAGACTAGCATTTCAACCATAGATCCGACAATTTTAGATAACCGACGGGGGAAAATATTGAAATGCGTAGTATCTACAATCGTATTGCTTAAATCCAAGGACATAGGTGCCATGTACGCAGATGCAAATGACTATAGAAAGATACCAGGATTTCGCCACGATTTCGATTGTTCCCCCACGGTGTCGCGGTGAACGGTACACCGCTGATTGGGTTTCGTCGATGCTGCTATCTATTGCCCGGAGAGGCCCACTGCGGGCCCGGGGAAACGTTCGTGACCGAGTGCGGTGGCTGTAACCGCGACTCTGCGACATCCCGACACTTTGCCGTGGATGGCTCGGTTCCTTTTTTCGACACACCGTTTGAGAAAGCCGCCTTGGCTCCCCCCGCCGCGCGCGAGGGACAGATTCCTCTATCTCGTGTCCCAGGTCTTCTCCAGCTCCATTTCCCGCCTCAGCACCTCGGGCGATTTCTTGTAGCGGCCGTTCACGTCCATGGCGAGAGCGAGACCACCGACCAGGCCGACGTATCCCAGACCAATGGCGGCCCTCTGCACCGGCGTGATCGCGTAGTAGTTCGGGGGCATGCTCCCGGGGTTGTAGAAGCGCTGGAAGGTCTGGTACCCCCCCGACAACAGAATCAGGTAAAAGATGGGGTTCTGGATCGCTCCCGTGTAGGCAAGGCCGGCGCCCATGCCCACTCCGGCGACGCTCATGTAGGGGCTGACGGCGCCGGCGATCCGGCCGCCGTCCATGGACCCCAGCGGGAGCAGGTTGAACAGGTTGATCATGAGGCCAAAGTCGCCGAGGGCGATCAAGAGCTGTGAGTCTGTGGCGTGGCCGACCAGGGCCACCGTCCCGGCGCCCAGGCTCCCCAGCACCGGCCCCCCAAAGGCAACGAGAGCGTCTTCCCACGCGTCGCGAGGGAGTTCCTTGGTGGCAATGACGGCGCCCATAAAGGGGACAAAGACCATGGGGGAAAAGGGGATCCCTCTCGCGTGCATCACGGCGGCGTGTCCTATTTCGTGCACCAAAATGAGACCCACCATGCCCGTGGCGTACGGGAGGCCAAAAAACATGGCGTAGGTTCCAATGGTGAAGACCATGCTGCCCAGCGGGGCCAGCTTGGTCAGTTTGAGAGCCGCGAGGACGTACTTTGTCTTGCCAAAGAGAACGAGGGCACCCGTTCCCATCACCCCGGCGATATTTCCCAGGCCACGCGGCTGGTTGTTGGGCGAAGGGCGGGGATGGGGGGTGTTTTGGTTGGAAAAGAAGGCGAGGGAACCGGTGTTGGTGGGAACAACCGATGCCATCGGGGAAGATCGACCCTGGCGGGATTGAAGGGTGCGAATTCGAATGCGAATGCTGGAGAGAGAAGCGGCGCCGTTCCGAACACCGCTGTTCCCCATTGTTGCGGGAGACAAGGTTGAAAAAGGAAGCGCGTTCGCGAACGGGAACAGCTGCGGATGGCCGCCGTGCAACCGCGGTCCAGCAGCGAGGATCGTCTTCGAATCGTGGCGCGCAACGTTCCGGGTGAGAGCCGCGAGAGAGCGGTGGCAGCCGTACGCAAGGCTCGGATTTGGTTTTGGTGTGGCGGCCTCCGAAAGGATGCCCCGCCGGCAGAAATCATGCTGCGCACACCGTCGCGTTTGCAGCAGTTGGCGGTGCAACGCAAACGATAGCGTTGCTCCTGGTCTCTGGAACATTGTGGATGCGATTGTTCTGCTTGCGGACAGCACCGTTTTCGGCCGATTGCGGTCTGATTTTCGGAAAAGCCCACGGGATCGATGCGCCCTCCGGGGATCGGTTTCAATCCAGACTGGTGGTTGGTGATTCCGCTCGGGACGTGCAACTCAACTCTACTAGGACGCGATGGTCAACGAAACAGAAACAGAAACAGAAACAGAAACAGAAACAGGTCGTCTGAGAATCTGAGAAGCAACAGCACTACGACTGCCATTTTACAGTACTTGTACCAGGTAGTACGGTACCTGGTACGTACTGTATGTTCACATGTTCAAATGTTCACTGTAATGAGGGCTCGATCTGATTCGTGCGGAACAGGATTTGAAAAAATTCGGGAGAACCGACAACAGGGGCTCCGGATGGAAACGAAGGACCCGATCCAAAACTCTAACCCTAACGGTATCTCCGTTCACTGCCTCCGGAAGAAACTAATGACATCTCTGTCATACGGGCCGACTTTCGCGACGACACCCCTTAGAAGCCTATATAAAACTAATCATGTACGAATAAATATTCATTCGTGCTGCGCCTTAGGGGACGTTCTAACGGAACCTTTTGTGTGACAGTGAAAACTTTTTCCCGAGGCGGAGGTGTAACTACTGTACAGTTCTGTTCTTCGTACTCGTACGTTTCGTTGGGGTGCGGTGCACGATAGTGAAAAAAGACGCTCTGCAGCCGAAAATTTCCTTATGTAACGAGAGCGTGGGTTGTTGTAAAAACCCGCACGCCTCTTGCGCAGCAACCGGTACGGGTACTACGTACCGGTGGTAGTGAGTGCTAGTGTAGTGCTTGCCACCGCAAGAAACGCCTTCTCTCGACGACTCGTGCCCCACCGGGTGGCACCGACACCGCCAATGCACCATCGTTCTATTTTCTTTCGTGGATCGAAACCGATTGATCCGCAAACCCACCAAGACGCCGACCCTCCGGTCCCGCGACCTAGCCCCAGCAATTCGAAGCTGTTGTGGACGCCATTGCCAGGCCTCTCTTTGCTAGCCAGCCAGCCAGCCACCCAGCCAAACCAAACCGAATAGCACGGAACGAAAGCAGCACAAAGAAGAGAGTGCCAGTGCAACACGATACGCCGGTGCGACGCTAGACTCATTCCGGCACGAGACCCGAGATTCGTGGCTCGGACCCCGCTGGACCCCCATTCCCAAGGATCCTTGATTGCTCGCAGGAACACACCAAGCACAGAACGGAACAATGCCGCCCTCTGCTGTAATAAACGACGACCAATCGCAGTACTCTTTGTGCTGCGGCGCCTTTGACATCGGTGAGATCGAAATCGAAGTCCAGGCGGTGGGCGGAGACTGCAACAGCGTCAAGGAGACACAGATCGTCGTGTCGCCCGGGAGCGCCACCACCAAGAACGAGAATGTCACGAACCGGTGCGATCCTTCGCAGTACGATTTTGTCCGGGACGGGAGGAACCCGCTGGACGGAAGCCAGGCAGGGAGCTTCGATTCAACAGACGAAATCATCGAGGGATCCAACGAAATGAAGCTCATGAGGCGTGTCGTGGAGAAGCAGCGGCTGGGAATGAAGGGTCCGCGACACCGGAGCTTCATCCAGCAACCCATTTCCATGGAACGGCAGGACAGCATGTCGGACACCAACAGCGTAAACGCGAACGATGTGTTTGTTTCGATCGAAGACTCGAAGGAGATGGAGTACCTCGATGTCTTGGACCAGCACCTGAACCAAACGAATCCCAAGGCCCTCGACTACGAGCACCTGGAAGACGAAACGGAAGATTCGCACCCAAACAAACAGAGGTTTCAAGCCGACCTGGACGACATAATCGAACATCTCTGCGCCGTGCCGTGTGCCGGATACCTGCCGGTCGTGGACGGGACGTGCCTCGGCGACAGCACGGAGGCAGGCCATCCAAGGTCGGTGCTGCGCAGGCCGAGGTACAGTTCTCCCGGCATGTATCCGCCCGCTAGCGCTCCTCTCAATCGAGCTGCAGACGGAACAGGAACCACAAACTTTGATCAACCCATACTGATACGATCCTCGTCCAACTACGATGCTACCGGTGCAAGCCGAGACACGCAACAACGGCACTCGGTGCGATTTCAAAACGTGGACATTCGCCACCTGAAGATGACCCTGGGAAACCACCCCTCCGCGACGACGGGACCACCTGTCATGCTGGACGGGGAACTAGCCGAACCCCGCCATTCGGCGCGCCAGATCATACTGCTCGAAAAATACGAGCAGACGAGGCCGCCGCGAAGGAAACGCCGCCAGCTCAAGCTGACCCTGCAGCAACGGCACAACATTCTGGTGAAGGAGCGCGGCTTTACCTTTGACGAGGTCAAGAGCGCGTGGCAGGAATCGCTCCGGATCCGGAAGCAACGGAAGGAAACACTGGAGAGAGGCCTGGCGATGATGAAGTGGGACGAGGTCTGGGAGTCGACCTGCCGAAAGTTCAACCGCTTGGTGGACGGTACCCTGTAACAACACACCTCAACACGCCGGGTATCCCATCGCGAACGATTGCCGTGCGGCCGACCGCTATAGTTCGGGACTCGTGGTGGGAGCTATGTACAGACCATGCAATGAAATTCATAGAAATAGTACGTACAAACAATGCTTTAGACGGCTAGTAAGCAGGTTCATCCCAGAAGCACACAGGATGATCCGATGCGCAGCAGCGTTTAATGTAGCCAAAAGTACGGAAGCAGTATCCTTTTGCAACTCTGCTAGTTGCTATTCATAGTACAGTAATCTACTCTAATAATACAAGGGATAGCACCGTTGTTTCGTTTCGCGTCCGGAAACCGCCGTGGGGTTCGGCGGGGCCGCCGTCCTCCGGTGTTCGGTCTCTCGGCGGTGTTGGTGGGTTCGTTCCGCCAGATCGGGTTGGGGTCTGATCGGAGTTCCGTTCTCTGCGATCAAGAGTAGTTGGAGCGTCCGGTTTCTTGGCGTTGGCAGGTCCCGGGTCATGCTTTACAGGGGTGCGCTGTTCACACCATCACGACAGTTACAATCTACTGGAAGCTACAGTACTATTAAACATTAACTCTTATACAATTGGTAATTTTATGCATGACACAATACAACATTGTAGTCCGCAGCTTTAACAGATACTTTGTGTTTATCTATAAGCAATCTTGAAAGAATTATTGTTCTACGAACAGATACATTTTCAAAACACGTGCATTGCATGAAAACATTACTAAAAAAGGCCGCTTTGGTCCCTCTCCAGGAATTTTTGCAGAAACATGATGGGGTTGTTGTTGCATTTCCTTCAGGTGATGTATACTGGACAGAGGAGGGAGGAGACCATTCCTCTGCACTATCACCCAACTTCCACCAACAAGCTGTTTTTGGTAGTGTTAATTTCAATTCCCCTTCTGTTGCAACTGGTTCTGATCCTTCACTTAGCAGAAACTCTCAATTGTGAAAATTGACTGCTACATAATCATATCGTCCTTGTACCTTGAAAAGTGAGCAGATACTATAGATTTAGCATGGGATTTACAATCTTCTTCCAACACATCATACTATAGTACATTGGTAATCTCTCAATTTGTGATATGTTTGTAGACAGCACCACCAGTAGAGAGTCACTGACCTACTGCAAGCTTAAGCAGATACCTGTGCTTCTTCTTCTTGGAGAAGCAATTGTAAACAAGCTTATCAACAATAATACATTCAGGATGCTGTTTCCTACTAGATAGCAGGAGGGCATGGGGATCATGCTAGATCTAAAAGATCTAGATTGGGGCCTGGATTGTTGTTGTTGTTGTCCAACACAAATGCACGAAAGAATTTTTCTCCTCCTTTCTTCAGTAATGAAGTAGTCATCACCACTGTTTAGTGTACCACTGTTGGTCTTAATAGAATGCTCACTAGTAGGGTACATGACATTGAAAATTTCATCTTGCTGTTCTCTGGTAACAACCTTTGTAACTGCTGGTGATGCACCAGATGCTGACAGCCTTGGAGCATATCTTCAGTAGATCTCCCCAATTAAACCCAGAGCCATTGATTACTTTGATTGTTGCAGTGTTCAATTGTTCCCACCCAGGGAGCTCTGCAGTTTGGGGATCAGCATCAAGATCAATACTACCATCTGGTAGCATAATGAGTTCATGCGCAACTTCCTGGTCTTCAAGACAAAGGCAAATGGTGCTATCCCTAGTATCTTGGCCCACACTGCCTCAAATGTATGCTCAAGTTGAACAGGTTTTAACAATTTTTGTGCTTGCCAAAGACAAGGAGTGGAACATTTGTCTGTTACACCTTGTCCACAATCCTTTGAGGGTGCAATTCAAGCTCTAAAAATTCCTTCTGTACATGGATTTGAACTGTCCATAGTTCCTGCCCATTGTTGGCTGCTGCACAAGATGTGTTGTGTTTGGTACACCAGGAAGTAGATAGAAGCCTTTTACACATAGTTTGACCAGCAAGTCTTCATACCTTCTACCTGGACTGCTGTCTGGAATCAAAAGGACTCATGTACCTGGAATGACAGCTGCACCATCAGGACAAGATAGCTTCATTATGTTGTCTTAAATATACCTCTTCTAAAATTGCTCAGCATTCATTCTAGCTGTTGTTTCATTGCAGTTAACAGTAATGATGTTTTCAACTAGTCAATTGCAATCATAGACACCCTCAGTTTTTGGAACTCCCTTGATAAAAGCTGCATGGATTAATCTTTGGCAGTTGAGTTCAGCTGGAAGTGGGGGGCAAAAGGATGGCCAGCTGTGTTGGTTCCTGTAACAAGAGTGGTTTGACAGCTGCTATTGTTTATGCAGTCAGCACCACAGGTAATGTTCTTGCTTGAAAGGCTGTCTCTTGCAGGTGCTTGCCCTCCTACAAGATTGGAGCAACTTTCTTATTTGAATCCACTCTTGTCAAGATTCACTAAGCAATTCAACACGTTTGGAAGGAAAACCGGTTAACTGTCACCCTCTTTGCCATCCTTTCTAAGATGGGCAAATCTAAGGTCAAGAAGCTTGTCCCAACATGAATCAAAAAGGTGTTACTAATCTTGTTGTACACCATTTATTATTCACTGTGCTCTTCTTTCTTCCACCTTTGTATTACCTATGACAATATTAAAATTGTCACAAACAACTTTTATACAGTCTTTTCAACAACAAATCCTTGTCTTTTATTTTAATGTTGGTCCTCCTGTAAGGCACACGGATAGCCATTTGGACCAGTTGTGGACAATTAGGTTTATTATTCATTTCTGAACAATCAAGATCAAGAAAAGACAACATAATTTGGTGACAAATCCTCCAATTCCAACCGCAGCTGTCTGCATACAGTGTCAGGCTTTAAGATTTGCATCAGTAGTATAAGGACCTTCAATTCCCTTACATCTTGGGCTATAGATGTACACATTGGTGGCTTTGGCAAATTTGCTCTTTGATTCTTCACCTTGATTACTCCTGCCATGCATGGTTTATTCCCACCTCAATCTGGTTCAGATCCCTTTTTAGTTTGGTGTGATACTACTATCATGTTGCTGTATCCCTTCTATCTCCGTCTTGTTTCATCTTTTTCTTGTTCTTAACTTTAGTATAAGTATTTTCCTCTGCAAGTCTTTCTTTGGTGGTGTCAGAAAAGGGAGGACAAGGACTAGGAGGCCCAAAAAACACCATCTGAAGAAATGGTGATACTGGATGTATTTGTTGGTTGCAATTGACCAACAACATAGTCACAAGGCACTGACTTCATTTGGCTTTGGCATCTTTACACTCTTCTCTACAGGGTAGTTTACTGCACTCATCAACTGAAAATTTAGTAATGGCCATTGCCTCTTTTACTACAGACAAGCAAGGAATCCCCTGTTCCTTTGAGGTGAATAGGCACTTTGTAGCAAATAGAGTCCTTGGACAGGGAGGAAGCACGCATCCATTTTGACCAGATCCAATGGCTGACATTACTGTGTTCTTTGTAGCTGCTGTTGGGAGTGCAGCTGGTTTAGCTGCTGTAGTAGGTACTGCTGTTCTTGTTCTTGTTGTTTTCATCATGCAAGCAAAATAGCACAGTGGGAGAGAACAATCATGGTTGATCAATCCCAAACTTCCTGGTCCCTGAAAATTTAATGTAATGAACAAGAGGCCCTGAACGCAGCTGGTCTTGTTTATGGGTTGGTATGGTTGTTCTACAGCTTGCACTAGAGGAGCTTCTTTCTGCAGTTAATGCAAAACAAAGTGTTAGCTGTTGTTAGAGTAGCAATCTTGTAAATCACACAATCAATGAACAATCTGAAATTTCAATATCCATACAAGTTTGATACTAGATAATGATACAAGTTTGATAGATAATGAAGAGGTCCTGAACATGGCTGGTCTTGTTAATTGGTTTATATGGTTGTTATAGGATGGACTGGAGCTCCTCCTTTCTTTGATATTTTTTGATGCTTTGCTACTGGTACTATTTACAGTGCTGTTCCTCCAAAACCAGCACTCAGTTGATTGATCCACATCTTCCAGATCCCCTTCCTCTTGTTATTAAGAAATAGAAGCTGTATACAGGTTGAGTTAGATGTAACAACAGATAAGATTGTTTGCCAAGGGCATAACAGGTCCCTATGATGAGGTTGATTAGATGATATTTTTTGATATTTTTTGTACACAGACAAGTAATCAATAAGCCTGAAAAGGTTCCCTGGCAAAAAACATAAGAGGAAGCAATGTACACATCTTAGGTTAGAGGAAGAAAAACCATTTTGGACCAACAGAGGAGTCTCTAAATCTTATTGGTATTTTGCTAGTAATAGTACTAGTAGTAGCAAGCAAAAACAGCTCACAAAAATATGACTCATAATCAGTTAGAAAATCAAAGTGGTTTGAGGCCCCCCAACATTCTACTAGTAGATTGACCAAGAATTCTTTTCACCCTTGCTCTAACCACTTTGCTTCCCCATGTGCCCTGGGCCAATATTTTAGAGGGTTGCACAACTCGTTTGGCACTTGCAAAATACTGTAGGTACTTAGTTTTTGCACTGTAGAAACTATTTGTGTTAGCAAACCAATTGGTTGCACTGAACTACCACTATCATTTCTTCATGGTAGCCATTGACCTCAAAGAATTCTCACTGCTCTGGACTTCCAGTAGAAACAAAAAAAAATGTTTTTGTGTAGAATCTGTGTAGGCCTCCTCATTACCCCAAAATTTCAAATTATTTACCTTGACAAAAAATAGATTATTCATTTTAAAACAACAAAACATTCAGTCATTACTACTATGATGACAATCAGTCATTCCAATGTTCAAGAGAAGAAAATTGCTCCCAAGACTAAAAAATCAGTCATATTTGTGGTTGGTCATTCCAATATTTAATAAAACCAAATTGCTCTGAAGACTCAAATAAATCCTCAGTCATACTATTTGCATTTGGTCACTCCAAAATGTAAGAGAATCTAAATCCTCCTAAGAATCAAAAATTCAGTCAGTATTGTGATTAGTCAATCCAGCCTTTAAAAGACCCCAACAACAATAATTATGGACAGCTTTGGCTACTATGATTATGACAGGCACAATGTACCAACTGGGGGCTTGTTGTTGGGCAAGTTTGAGTCCTGGTACAAGGAATACTGCCAGGAGTTCCTCTCCAAGAAGTTGGGGAGCAGCAACACAGAGGATATCAATGCCAACACCAACATTGACAGCCTCTACTACAACAAGCTCTAGCCACCAGCAGCAAGAAATGGGACAACTAGTACCACTACTACACCAATGAGGAGTTGTTGTAATGATTTGGTCATTCCAAAATCAAACAGGTTATTTTTACATGTTGAAAGAGAATTATATTCCCAAGACTTGATATATTCTTTCACAAGCCAATCTATCTATCAAAACAGAACTGGTGGGCAAAACACCATGACTAGCCAAAGAAACATAGTACTTACTAGTATTGCAAACTACTAGCAGAGGTGCATCAAGAAGAAGGTTCCTTCTGCTCCTAGTAGCTACTTCATATTTTCAACAGGTCCCAAATACTTTTTGTGACAAAAGTTGCAGTGGGAATTATTAGGAATCCAATTTTTGTCATTGCCTTCCTCAAAGATGAGGAGATAGTGTAATTCTAATGCCAAGAGAGTCAGCTGGTGACATGAGAAACAGTGGAGGATAAACTGGATATCACTGTCATTCTGGTAGGAACACAGACAGCATGAGTCATGAAATTGATACTAGCTACTTCTGTTTTTTTGAGAACTGTAACACACTCAATTTGTCGGATGTCATTGCAAAACTTTTTGTCAAGGACATTCCTATCAAGGCAGGAGATAGCAATATAGAGAAACTTCCACCAAGCTACAATCTTGAGGATATTGCTTGTTGTCTGCCTAATGTTGCCACCAGCAGTAGCTGCCTAACATTACTAGTAACACTGATCATCTTAGTAGTAGTACAAATGTACTAGCATTCAGGAAAAGTATGACCAATACCCACCTCAATGGTTGTGCCTCCATCACATCTCCTTGGAGGGAGGTTTTGCCCCTCAGAGCAGCTAGGAGCATTCTTCCCCCCAAGAAGTTCTTGTTCTGGTCAACATAGTGCCTCTTCTACTAGTAGTTCACGATGTTAAACATAGCTTTAAGATATTTTGTTACTACTAGTACTAGTACTAGTACTACTACTTTGCAAAGTTGAGTTTTCAAAATGATAAGGAACAGGCAGGAAAATGCATAGCTAGTAGTACTACTAGATTGTTGCTGCTTTTACTCTGACAATAAAACATTGGTCTGATTGATGAAAAAGGAGGAAATCCATGGGACAATAGCTACTACTAGTAATTGCTGCAAAAACAAGTAGTACTACACACAAGATCTCAAGCCAACCATGAACAATAGTACAGTAACAAATAGCAGTTTCTTGCTTCTTGTCTGTTGCATCTCTATCAGGGACTGGTGGAGGAGGAGGTACTGGAAAATCAAGTCTTGTACATTCTTTTCAGATCAGTAGTACTTTCCACCTTACTGGCACTAACTTACTAGTTTTTGCACCGTAGAAAGTACTTCTATTTGTGTTAGCAAGCCAATTTTATTTTGTGGGTGGGAACATTTGGCAACATCCGATGGGAAAAAGTTAAGAGGGGAGGTCTCCCCCAATAAAAGCGGGACTCCACCCGCATCACGGATCGGACCGGAGTGAAGACGCAAGACGCCAACTGTGGTTTTTTATTTTTGTGTTTTGTTTGCTTTTCCTCCTCTCTCAGAATCATGGCAACAACCGTGTCCGAGATGCGATCCGCAAAGATACAAGGCGACGACGACCGTTGCAGGCGCATCATGAAAAGCTTTCGCAAGCGGAGGCGCGAGCGAAGCTCCTTCGCCGCAGCAGCGACGGGGCTCGGACCGCCGCCGGGGGGAGGAATCGGAGCCTTGGAAAACCCCCGAACCAAGCGGAGGACGGGGGCGCTGGCATCGTCGCGCATCGGTTCGGACGACGGGGACAGTGCCGTGGAATACGGCGGGCTTGCGTCCTTGTTCCTTTGCCGCGGACCGCTCCCCGGCGGAAGGCTTCGCCCCGGAGACAGCTGGACCGCGTTCGATCGAAGAAACCGTGTGGAGTGGGGAGAAGGCCTCGTTCGGAAAAGGGCCTTTGGCGTGTCCAGCCGCCGACCGCCAGCCCCCGAGTTGGTCCACCGCAAGCCGGAAAATATCCGGGAGGGATCCTCCTATATCAACTGCCAGTTTTTGGATCCCCACGACAGGGTGCTGGGCGTCGACATCTCCGGAAACCTGGACCTGATTCGTCTCGCCGATCTCCGCTCGCAGACCAACGACCGTGGAGCGACGGACCGAGCGAGGTCCAAAGCGTCGCACGAAAAGATTGCAACCGATTTCGAATTCGGCGCCGCCCTGGGACAGAAGAACTATTTTTACAGCGCCCACGTCCAGGTCTTGGCCCATGGATCGGCGGTTGCTTTTGGATTCGTGGACAACACGTTGTGTCTTCTGGATCTAGAAGGGAGAACAAACTACGCGTACCGGGACCACAGTGCCAAAAACGACGGCGGCGGACTGGATCGCGTGCCACTGCCCGTGCCCGCACCGTCCTCGACCCTGCCGTCCTCGTCCTTTCGGGCGTGGAGAGCCCAACAGCTGAGACGAAAATACTACCGCGATCGGCGGAATCCGAGTTTGTCCATACACGAGTTGTGTCGGGATCGCACGCAAAACAGAAGCAATGTCGGCGGGTACACGGGTAGCATCTGCGAAACCCACAGCGTGATTTCCAATCTCCTTGCCATCGACTATTCCAACGGAAGAAAACGCATCGCGAGTCCCGTTCGATTCGTTCCGGGGTATCCTACTCCCGAAGGCCCACGCTGGGACATTTTGGAGGTCCGTCCCGGTTGCCATCCGATGAACTCGCTTCTGTATGTAGCACGCGTAGATCCCGATTACGATTCCTTTTGGACACAGGTCTTGGACAGTCGGGTAGGTGTTGGAACAGGGACAACAACACCGAAAACCGATGGCCACGGCCGAAATGCAACCACGGTTTTGATTGACGGCACCACGCGCGATCACCCCGGAAAATCTGAGGAACACGTCACAACCTGCGCCATGGTAACAGACATCTGCATGGCCACCGGTCACGTATATTGCGGGAATTACGGGGCCACATCCGCCTCCGACTTCTTTGATCAGGGTTTATCCTACCCCGGATGCCCTGGAATGTCGTCTTGCGTGAAGCTATGGGATCTTCGCATGGCAAGGAAGAAAAGGAAACCAAGGATGATGAAAGATTCCCTAATACCCACCTATACCATTGCTTTGTCGTCACCCGGCTCTGGTATCTTTGAACACGCGAACATTGTTGTCGCGGAACCGTCCGCTACCATTCACACCCGGCTCACTTCCAAGGAAGGCTCGCTTGCCTTTTCCGAAGCGACTTTTGCGAGCGAGAGTGGTGTCGGCTGTGGTGCCGGTAATCACGAAACGGAAATTCCCGATGCCGGAAGTGACTTTGTCGTTAGGAATCTCTCGGCATCGAGAGATTCCTACAACGGAGTGTCAAACAACGGCAGCACCCGCTGCGGATCACTGATGGTTACGTGTCGTTCTTTTCAAAACTCGAGCCACGTCGAACACTGCAAACTAGATCTTAGCGGAAAGACACGTACGGTGCGAAAGGTTCGGGAGAGCAACTCGATAACTCGGCCACAGCCGCTGTGGGCTGTTGATCCGTCGCACAAATTCCTCGCGATCTGCAACAACGACCATCATTTTTCGCGCAGCCATGGCCCGTCCACTAGACTCTACCTTTACGATCTGAAGGAGGGAACTCTTCCGACCCTATCGGCGGAAGTCGGCAATCGAACGTATTTCTGTCCGCAACAACGCGAAGATTCTACCTTTCGGTTCCGAACGGATGCATCTCTCACCGATCGGTATGACATGAAAACAGAACTCTCGTGTATTGCCGTGAACTCAAACGCGACCGCTCTGCTGGGTGCATCCAGCGATGGAGATCTCTTTGTCTGGCGGGGGATATAGGAGCATGACATCCTTAGCAGTAACGAACGCACGCAAACCGAGACATTGAACGAACAATCTTGCGAGAGGCCTTTGACTAGTATTTTGTTCTCGAACACATGTATTTTGAAAAAATCATTCAGGGCCCTCAACCGTACAGCTAGGTTTTGTTTTCATACCAGCATTCCATATGCTCAACACCGACGATTCTGTGATATGAATCCCTTGGCGCAGTGGCAGATCAGAGCTCGTTTTCGTTTTGTTCCCGTAGCAAGCGTTCCCTCTTGGCCTTGCGCTCTGCTCTTTTCTGGGCGATAACCTCGGGCGTGTCAGGAATCCTTGGAACTCCTGGTGTGCGTTGTCTCCCCCTGCCACCTCCCAATTTTCTGCTGTTCCTCCGCCGTGATTTCATCGCCATTCGTTCTTGGTATACCCACTCTTCTTCGTGGCTAGGCATGTCTGGGAAGGCTTGGGGCGGATCGAATATCTTGGTTTCTGTCAATGCTGTTCCTTGTGTCGAAGAGTCTATGTTCTTCTCGTTGGCTGTACTAGATGGCGAATTCGAAGCATCACACCTGTCTCCTAGCGCAATTTCTGCTACTCGAAGAAACTGACCACTGTCACCCTTTCGCTCAAGCAGATAAATTCGATCCAAGACAAATTCCAAACCACTGCTGCTACTTATTGGGTTGGATGACGATTCCATACTTTCTTTCGCCTGCAATGCCTCTTCTAGACTAGGAAAGTGCGATAGAGTCATGTGGGGCGTAAAGCCTCCCTTCTGCGACTGGTCCTTGCACATCGGAAATGCCTCCTCTAATGATTGTTGCAGTTCTATGAGCGGACTGGGCTGCCTGTGTGTTTCATTACTACCGTCGAATTTGTTTAGCAACACTGTGTCGCCGCTGTCCGGGTGCAACCACAAAACTCCTCTCCTTTTGCCCCCAAACGTTCCAAGTTCGTTCAACCGCACTATAAACGGTGCTACTTTTCGAGTCGACGATTCCAATCGCTTCACAATGTTCGATACGATATAATCGTCGTGTGATTGAGGAAAGCTCTGCCCATCGCCGTCTTCGCTATTGTCACTTTTGCTTGGATGCTCTAGCTTTAGGAAGGGATACATAAGGTTCACGTGCGGTGGCCACCTGTAAAACCCAGGGTCTTTTAGTTTCATTCTCATTTCAGACAGCACTTCCCATACTCGAAGATTTTCGGGAGGTGGGACAACGCAGACTGTGACAGAGTGGACTTTATGGTGTGATGGTTTACCGGTGTCTTTCTCTTCGGTTTGCGACCCGCCCTGTAAGTTTTCTGGGGACAACTTCATCTCGAACCGGAATCGCCCACGATACAAGCAGTTACTTGCTGATGGCAATGCGCGCTCCCTGAAAAGCACAGGTGACGCCATGAACCAGCTTTCTTTGCGGCACCAACGACTTCGACAAGAATGTTCTCGTTGACTTCTTGTAAAAACCGGGGGGAATGCACCCACGGAATGATTGTGCCTTGCAATACAAATGGTACCTAATATTAGTGCAATCCTGATAAGCATCACTTCCAGAGTTGTGATGGCGTTTGTCACCAATTCAATTATCTTCCTGCTTTGTAGAAGTACCTATTTTCAAAATTATGTTGATGATTCCGGTGATTGATTTCACAAAGCCAAACCAAAAAATTTAAGAACAAGTAGTAGAAATAGAAATCCTAATTCGACCACTTTGACCTCAAAAAATCCAGCGAGCCTTGAAAACAAAGAAAGTTGAGGCTTATGTACTCCCAATCTCATGAAATAGGTTGACGAAGTTCAATAATATTATCATCGATCTTTCGAACTTTGACGTACAAATAAAACGTACAACAGTACTGAAAATTGAAAATTGTTTTCGTAAGTGGACGAAGTTTTACGTACCGGCCGGTAGAACACCTTACAATAATATCTCAATCTCAAAGTAAGTACAAGTATGACCTTCCTGTAGTACTTCTACTACAACCCGTGCCAATTAAAATTAAGAAACAATTGCAGTAATTCTGTACCATGAGTGCTCGTACTTCTGATCTACTTGCAGTTACCGTACCCTAGTAAGAAGCAGTACTGTACGACCATAATTCATTCGTACCGTACAGGCACGAGTAATCGTACCGTATTCTTACCGTTCAACGCGTACATCGTCAAAACCCACAACAAACCAGGTAGTACATACAACGATATTACCACTTCTGGACATTCTCACTTTGCAATAACATATCTGTGTGTATTCGTCTATTGTAGAAAACAACCATGGCAGACAACAATAGCAATAACAATACAAATACCAATACCAACGACGGGCCACAACCAGCGATGACTGCCGAAGAGGTTGTTGTCACTCCTTGTGGATTGCTTCTTGGTTGCTTCACCTGCCTTCTTGGTTGCATGTGCCTACCCTTTCTTTGTTGTTGTGCTGTTACTGCAACCGCTGCTGATACGGCCGCCAATCGAGCGCAAGGCAAACGATTCGATAATGTCCAGGGAAAATGGGTCATTGATGATCTTGTTGAAGAAGAAAAAACACTCAACGGTATTCCTGATGACGACGATGATCTCATCAAGTTGTCCCAAGAGTCGGGGGACGAGAAACCCGAAGAAAGTAGTGCGACATCTGGTAAAAAGGTCAAAGATTCAAAGTACTACGATGTTTTGGGAGTGCCAACCGACGCCTCGGCATCTAAAATCAAAAAGGCCTATTACATCCAAGCAAGGAAATGGCATCCCGACAAGAATCCTTCCGACGAGGCCAAAAAAAAATTCCAAGAAATCGGTGAAGCCTACCAAGTGTTGGGAGACGAGAAACTTCGTGGAATTTATGATCGCGATGGCGAAGAAGGATTGAGTGCGGACAAAACCGATGCGAATGTTGAAAACATCGATCCGTCGTTTATTTTTACCTTCTTGTTTGGAAATGATTGCTTCAACGATATCGTGGGGCGGTTGCAACTCGTGACGCAACAGCTGGTCGCCGGTGCCGATGGTCAACCAAAATGTACTGCAGAAGAAATGCGTGAAATGGAACGCCGACGTGTGTTACGATTGGCTTTGGCCCTGCGCAAACGAATAAATGCGTATGTCAGCGGAGGCAATACCGAAGCTGCCAAGGCTGAATGGAAGAAGGAAGGTGAACGACTCGTTGAGGTCAGATATGGGCAGGAACTTTTGAACACTGTCGGCAAGTTGTACGTCTTAATTGTTACCCAAATCACTGGAACTTTTGGTGAAGGACTCACCGCTAAAAAGGAAGGTTTTGACATGAAATTTGATGCGGCGAAGAATGCACAAAATGCCGCAAAAAAGACCCAAGGAGGTGCAACCGGAGCAGAGCAAGACGCTCTCCCCTCGATGATTCAAATGATGTGGAATTTGAACGTTATCGATATCACTTCTACAATTCGAGAGGTTGTCATGAAGCTTTGTAAAGATAAATCCGTATCAAGCGATATCCAACAGAAGCGCGCAGAAGCCATCAAAGTATTGGGTTCGATTTGGGAATCCATCGAATCCAAGAACAAGGAGGAAAAGGATGCACGTACAATGTACATGAGTGCAACTCAAGCTGCCATGGAGTCGCATCTCGACAAGGTGTCGAAGGATGAAGCCGCAAAATCCGGTGCGTCAAATTAATCAACGCTTACAAGCAAACAAATGTAAACAATCGAAAACAATCGAAGAAATATATTCTGTTAGAGCGAGGTCGTGATCAACTTGTTCTTGGCGTCACGCGTGACCTACAATTCTGTATCAAGAAGCAGTGAATATTAAATTGAATTAGAAAATAAATTCCTTGATATTTTTACTGCTGTTAGGAGATTATTGACCTTTCTGCGTTGTCGCTGAGACAGATGAAAACTAGAGTTGTTTATGGAGGCAATATCACTTTATTGCTAGCAGTCATCTGAAAGCTCTTTCTAGAGACGTTTAGTAGTCTTTGGTGCTATGACTATTCTATCAAGATTAAAATAAGTTGAGGTATAAGATAGTACTAGGTCTATGTGAGGTTCAGTAGGCTTACTGCTGATATTTCATTCTTACATCAATATGTTGCACAACTGCTGAAGAGCCGCCGGTTGCCAATTTTTTGAATAGTAGTGCAATTGCCAGCAAAAGTGCAGAAATAGTGGTAAATATTAGGCAATATTCAGGGGCATTAAAAAAATTGTTTGGGGGAATCATGGTAGGTAGCATACAGTTAATTAAGCTGAGGAATAATTACTACATGTTTTATGACAATTGAAAGTAACGCTGGTACTCTAAAGAAGAAACTCTAGAGAGATATTTTCTTGAAAATGGGCTGCAGCAAGAATGATTGAATGGCCAGATTCATGATTGAATGACCTTTTTCAAAAAAAGCTTGTCAGTAGAACATGGTACATCTTGTATGACTTAAAGTTTATAACTTTGAAATGAAATTAACATCTTCAAAATTCTCTTCCTATAATTGCTACCATTTTCTATTAAATATATTTTGATTTAATCAACAAGAAGCAATTATCTATTTAAAGTGCATTTGGTGGTGAATCAAGCAAGTTATTAAGTTCTTTAACTTCTTGAGCTATTGAGGAGTTTATTGATTTCTGGTTCAACTTCCCCCAAACTGAGGTCCTAGTACTGCTACGTCAGTGTCTACAAAATGATCATCTACAAGAGCATCTGCAATGCCACTGCTACCTCCATTGTCAACACCAATTCCTTCACATAGTTTCTTTGTTCTCTTCTACTTTATTCAATAATACACAGCAGTCACTGGAGAGTGTCATAGTACAAGATAAGCCTGGTATCTATGTTGCATATTCCAGCCAAGAAACCACTGTCACAAACAGCATCAACTGCCAGCTCCTTCACTGCTGGATCCCTCAGATCCTCCTTCCCAACCACCACATCAAACTACGCTGACATAATTCTTTATCTTTTTGGGAGTGCTGTCCATTAGGAAAGCTATATGATTCATTCTCAACCTCAGAAGCAATAGCTCTTGTTTTTTGAATGCTTCTTGTTCTATGAGTAGAAGTAGTTTATGAGCTTAGATTTTTTGGGTCTCCTACCTTCATTTTGGGTGATTTCATACACTACTGGTACATCATTCAAAACATTTTTAGTTTACTTGAATTAACTTTTTTCCTCTTACAAATTTAGGAAATGGTGGGTGAGTTTGTTCTTGATGGCTGCTTTCTTCCTCTAGTGGCCGCCGCATCTCTAACCCCAGACCTGCTTTGTGAAGATCAAAATTATTTGTGACCACTTTGGAAATGAATTTCTCTATAGTACTAGTAAAACAGTAGAACAAATTGTTGTACTTCTGGGAAACTGAACCTCACAGCAACCAGCAATTGAAATTCAATTTGTTCTAACTACTTCTAGTTTTACTACTGGTGTATGGTGATTCCCATTCCAATTACTATTGAGTAATGTGAAAATACCAGCAATAAGAAGAATTAGTACCAGCAAGAATAGACCAGTGAAAATACCAGGATCACTGGCAATCCTGCCACAGCTCCCAGTGGAACAAAGAACTTATCTGTCAAGAGTTAAGTGAGAAGAACTTGTTTCATAGTATTGATCATGCACGTGGCATGTATTAAATTCAATAACATACTACTGGTACTAGGTAAATAAATACCAGAACTGATACAAGCTGCTTATACAAGAAGCTGCTGCTACTATGAGCTGCTGCTATAAGCTCCTAAAAGCTGCTGATACAAAATGCTGACACAGAGGATGCTGATATAAGTCAGCACTAATACAGAGGATACTTAGACAACTTGCTGATACAGAGGATGCTGATACTGAGTTGGTGATAGTACTACAAAAGACACTGGTGGATACAGAGGATTCTGGTAGACATGGATACATGACTAAGACAGAGGATGCTGGTAGATATGATGGATTCTGATACAGAAGGTACACCAAATACACAGGACACTGGTGACACAGAGGATGAGGACATAAACACTTACAGGAGTACTACTACTAGTACTATTAGGAGTAGTGGAAAGAAGGAGGCTATTCCCATGCTGGTCAAGAACACATATTGATATTTTTGCTGTTGCTGAAATAATGAGCAAATCCAGTGCTGTGCTGGTTTGTGTAGATTGTCTTTCAAATTACATGACATCCTGTAGAGAGGAAACTTTCCAGGACAGAATGTACTAGTACTTCAGATTCTAGTACCATGGTGTTACAAAACAACGCATTCTCACCACCAGCAGTTACCTTAAACTACTACTGTACCCAAAACTACTCTAACTATATCAAGAATACTTATGCTCATGCCCTAGTACTTATACATAAAGGCATGTGTCCACTACTATGTGTTCATTGTATAACAAGTATGGTGAATGAAAGCACTTTTCTAGTCAACATATTGCCTACTACCGGAAACCAACTTAAAAACTACTACTTAAAAGCTACCTCCTTAAATCTACTTTAAAGCTACTCCCACCCCCAACCTGGTGAGGATAAGCCGGTCCCTCTGCAGGATTTTTTACCATTTTTACCATCATTACCATTACCATTACCATTATTTAATAGAGTGGATTGTCCTCACCACCAGTACTATGATTGACTTGGCCACTGTTGTCACCAAAAGGAATTGTATATTGTCAAACAAACAAGAAGTCAAATCCATTCTTGTGGGCTTTCTGTTGAATCTTACAACAGACTCAAAAAATTTAATTTGTGAGTTCCATCATAAATTTATTACTTTTGGAACCAGTCAAATCAGTGGTTTCAAAAGTGATCCAATAAGTATGTAACCTCAACATGCTGCCTTTACAGATGTAATAGTAAACTTTTGGTCTGAGACAGTTACTACTACTACTAGTAGTACTACTACTAGTACTGCTGGGCACCACCAAACTGAATATGTGCTATCACGAGAATTCCGAAGTTCCGATTGGAACCTCATGTAGACCTGGTAGGGATCCTACATGGAGGTTCTCTGTTCCGGACTCGTGACATCTCTATTCTTCGT